AAAAATTTTATTAGATTTGACAGTGGGCAAAATGATCACGAGAGGATTATTTTATTCGGTGACCCTGAAATGCTACGTGTGCTTGAAACATCCAACTTTTGGTTGGCTGATGGAACTTTTAAAGTCACCCCGAAAATGTTTTATCAACTTTACTCCATACACGTTAGTCTTTCAGGAATAGCCCCTGCTTGCGTATATGCGTTCCTGCCAAATAAAACAGAAAAAACTTACCACCGTTTCTTAGAAGCCCTAAAAATACTAGTCCCTGATAGTAGACCTGAAAAAATTTTACTGGATTTTGAGCAGGCCGCTATTCAAGCGTTTCAGAAAAAGTTTCCCGAGACCAAGCTGTCGGGATGTTTCTTCCATCTTTCACAAAGTTTTTTGAGAAAAATCGGGGAGCTCGGATTGAAAAAGGATTACGAAACTAACCACGAGTTCGCTTTAGCACTCAAAATGTTACCCGCACTGGCTTTCGAAAAAGAAGAAGAAATAGGAAATTCATACGATAAAATAGTGGAGGAAATTCAAATAGTTTGCGATCGCACCATAAAAGAGTCGGAAAAAATAGCGAAAGTTGACGAGCTTTGCCTTTATTTTGGATCTAACTACATAAAAAGTCTCGTCCCGAATCGGGAAGCCCTATTCCCCCCTTCATTATGGAATCAAAGGGATGCGGCATCATCGGGTTTGGCCAGAACAACAAATGCTGTAGAGGGCTGGCATTATGGCATACAGTCATACTTCAGTGGATCGCATCCCAGTATATGGAAAGTGATTGCAAATTTGCAAAAAGACGCGTCCGTCCAAAAACTTAATTTCTATAACGCCTCGAGTGGGCACCAATTCACAAAAAAGAAAAAATACCGGGAGCTCAACGAAAAAATGCAGAATATTATGCATGTTTACGAAGAAAAAACTGATTTGCATTTCTTTCGCGCTATGGCGAACTTGAGTTAAATATTTGCTATTTAATCTATATTGCCAAGCAATAAAATTTTTTCCAAGTTTAATTATTTTCCTTGATTTTTCAAAATTGAGCTAGAGTCGATTTGAAACCGGCAAAATAATAAATACATACAAGCCCAACATACAAGCCCAAATACATACAAGCCCAACATAAATCCCTCCGCCCAACCCTGTAAGGTTAACCCATTTATTGTACCCTTGATATACCCGTTATCAAATTTACCCGAAATTCAACTTTTTTGGGAAAATTGGAAAATTTTTTGTGCCGCCAGGGATTCGATCCTTTGAACTCTAGATTTTGAGACTAACGCTTTAACAATTATACCATGAGGCCTTTGGTTGTTATCCAAAAATTTCTTCCATCTTTGGCTCTTTGATCTTAATTAAGCCCATGTTTGAGTTTTCAACGCGTAGATCAATTCTGTCGGCGCCAAAAGATCAAGGTCAAGAAATTCAAATGGTTTTGGACTGTTTTGTATATGCACCAATTTGAATCATGTCGGTCGGATTCGTTTTCAAGTTCATATCAAAGTCTAGACTATCGGCAAGGTCATTTCTGTTCAAATCTAAAACGCATTTAGCAGCGTGCGTGTTAACTCATTTTGGTTTGCAAAATTTTTCGCAATTAAAGCTTTGATGTTTACCGACGATATGGTTCCGAATCCTTTTCAAGTAACTTTCACTTTGATTCTAACAATTGGTTTTAAAAAGGGGTTAAATTGTAGTGGGGTTATCTGATTTGGGGGTTATATGTGAGGGGGTTAAGAAAAAGGGGGTTACAAAACACGGGGTGATAAGCTTGGGAACCCATTGAATCAACAAAGTGTAAATTTTTGTATTTTTGCAAACGTATGGTGCATGACATTTTTAAAAGAAAGTTATGCCTAAGTTTAAAGAAAATTACAAGTAATTAAGAGTTTTTATTGCTCCAAAACATTAATTCCAAGAACCTGTCAATTCCAATTGCAGAAAATTAGCTAGAGTTAAACGTATTATTTATAAGGGGACGTGAAATTTTATCAAAATTTTCCTTACTCAGGTTTTAAACAGCGTACGTTGTACCAATTGTTTCATATGCGCTGCTTGTTTATGGATCTAACAACAAACGAAATCGTACACAATTTTTTTTGCATAAAATTTATTATCCTCGAACAATGCTAGACAAATAGAAATATGATCATATCAAAATGTAATTTGCAGATAATGGCATTCAAACAGTGTACAATTTTTTTCACGGTCAGTTACTTAGCGAAACAGTTTCATAAATTTTGCAAAAATTCCTGATAACTTTCTTGCGGGTCTGCGCAAGTAAAATGTTGATATAATACTAGAACAAACGCCCGCAATGTGATACCAATCCCTTTCAACAGATCAAACACAATGAAAAATTCGAGTTCTCAAAAAATTCTTCAACTTTCTGATAGAAAACAGTTTGCTACCAGCTGATTTGATGACATATAATAGCTCCAATCAACAAAACTTTTTGTAAAAGTCTTAAAATTAAACTGCTTCACTGACAGTTCAGAATTGATTGATATGTTCCTCTGATCATAAGGTTTAAAACCCATGTATTTTAGCTAAAATATCATTCAACATTTTTTTTATGTTATGTTTTAAGGACCAAAACAAGTTGCGCAGTTAAGGCCCGGTCCATATAGTATTCCTGATATAGTATTTATTGTACCTAATTTATTTGCCAATGAAAGGTGACATATACTTCTATATTAAATAAACCTTTGATTCCAATTTTGATTCCAAATCGTGGTGGAACCGAAAACGTCAAATCAGTTTTTAGGGCAAATTTATCTGAATTATCCAATTGGGATCCAATGATCAATCTCCCCGATTGAAATTTAAAGGAAAATTCACTTGGCTCTCGATTTGGTTCTCGCGTGGTTCTGGAGCATGTTTTCTCGTTTTTGTTTCTTCAAACTTATGTGATTTTATTTAAATAGGGTATGAGAAGAGAAAGGTATAAAAATCTGAAAAAAAAACACAAAAATCTTCGAGGTTTTTAACTGTTTTCAACAGCTAAATAGTCTAAATAGGAAGTTTTTTCTATTTTTTTTCTAGCTTTAAGTTGAACCAAAATAATAAATATTCACAAGTCTTTTTCTCGTCACAGAGTGTTTTGGTTCTTAAGTTTTTAGTATCGATACTACAACGCTAAGAGTTTTCTAATAAATAATTTTCTCAAATGCATCTGACGTTTGTTTGATTTGATTTTGCGGTGGAAAAGTATAGAGAAACCAAAACAAACCTAAATACAATTTTTTCATTCCTACTTCGTTCTGGAAACAACACTTTCGAATTAGTTTTTTGGGTAGAGTTATCAAATTATCAGAAAAACGTGTTTGATTTTTTTTTAAACGAAACAAAGTATGTTCCCATTGGTTCAACTGAAAAGTAATAAAAGCATGTTTGGTTCTGTTGATCATCTAACTGAAGGAATAAAACTCTATCAACAGTATTTGACTCTCAAACTATATTTCGGCAGAGTCAGTACAAAAATGAGCTGAAGTTCTTTGCGATTGTGTTAAGTTTGTGCTTGATGAGTTTAAATTCAGCATTTATTACATGCGTTTAAATTTTTTGTTTCTACCATTGAAACTAGAGAAGAACGTCGTTTTTGTGTTTTTTAACAATTTTTTGGTTATCGCTCAGAATTAGCTCCCACAACTTATCGTCGAAACGGGCGGCGTGATGTTTTAAATTAAAACCATTTTTTCGAAATGGGTGGCGTGATATTTTGAACTTATTTTTTTTTCGAAAAGTGGTCCCATTGTAGAGAAAAACGAGTTTTAAAGTTTTGAGTTTTAGTTCAATTTCAATCGAGTAAAACAAGCGAGCAGGCTCATCACATAAGGATAAGCTTTGTCACTTTCATACAGCCATAAAATATTATTTAAACTCCAGTACTTTTTTTTGAAATTTCTTAACATCATTTGGAAAAACTTCAAACATTTCTGCACAAATATTCGAAATTGCCTGTTTTTTAGATCGAATGACGCAAAAGATTCTAACTAAACGATGAGAGTCAATCGTAAATTCACAGTTTAGTTCATTTAGTTGAAATAAGCTGAAAAAAATTAGAACTTGTTTCAATTTTTTGCAATCGTTTACTTTAATCATTGTGTTTGGGACACTGGTTTTTTTTTACTCAGCAATGGATTATCCTTGTTGTATCTTTGTCTAATTATTTTGCTTTTGAAGTCTTTCGAAAAATTGTTTTCAATCATGTATTTTGAACCGAACATCGTCAATGTGATAGACCGATTCAGAAAGTGGAACTCCTCAACCCAGGTAAAGCGTGAATTGTCTCCAATGCTCTATATATACTCGGCGCGCAAAAAGCAAAAAAAAAGAAGTTTTGTATATACAGCACTTACGCAAGAAAAAAAAAGAAATATTGTGTTCTATATACAGCCGGTATGCAAAAAAAGAATTCCAGTGTTCTATCTTCAGACGGTACGCAAAAAAAATGAAACTTAAGGGCAGTCAAATCAAATCATTTAGGTCTTCGCCCTAGTCCAGCAGTCTGATTAATACACTAACATACTTTTTTGATTCTGAGATTTATGTTGCGACTCTGCGCGACTTTAACCTAGGCATGATTGATGATTTTTCGCCTCAAGGTGATCACATTAGCGACGTTTATCGTCGTAGCACAACTCACGGACCTCAGCCCTCCAATTAACGCTTTGACACCAATGAAACAGCTCTATATTTTCAGTTTTTGTTCTCCAAAAATAGTTAAGCTAAAGCGATAACTTTGAATTACATGATTACTTTGGAAACAAATGTTGACTAGGAATATAACACTCAATCTAATAATGATATGTCGATGAGGACATTTTTAAAATCAAATCGTCAAACCATTTTCTATTAAGCCTTGAGCCGACATTAACTTGACTTTTATCAGAAAATTACTTATATTAAGCATAGGCTTCAACAAGGGACAAGCTGTTGTCATTCCATTTTTGAAAAATATGCAAGCCTTGCACGAATGATAATGAGTTTCGGATAGGAAATAATGAACCATATTTATTTAAAGAAAAAACACCACAAATATGGCTTTGCTTGTTTTTTGACAATTATTTTTATAACAAACATAATTTTCCAGTTTCACTGACAAGCAAACTATAGTCTAGGTTGATTCATAAACCATTTTCGTCTTCCAATTCATTCAAAACTGCATTGGTAGCTTCGTCGAGAACTCCTTCCGCGTCGGCTAGCTTAACCTGGAAACATTTACTGGCTAATTACCTATCATTACCCATTGAATACGAAATAATTTTCTATCAGCGAATATAAGACATGCAACAGACATTATTGAACAAGACAAAATTTCAAGTGTCAATGTATTTCTTATTCGTATTCTCTAGGAGACTAAAAAGTCATTTAGACTTTTCTTATCATCGGTCGCGAGAAAATTAAGATTAAGAGTTCTATAAGTAAAAACTAAGCTATTTAAACTAGCCAATTTTAACTAATACATCATTTCGATATTTTTTCTATTGAATAACTCACTCATTTGCAGGTTCCGGTAACACTGTTGACGATTTAGCAAGGCACTAGCACATAACTTTCAGTATTAATAAACATCATTTAAATTTTCTATAAATGAGTTATCCAGTTGCCTGAATTTTGTTAGTATGAAACTTCCTAAATTAGGATTTGATTAAAGCAAAAAGGCGATTTTATTTCAAACACGGGAGTGGGATAGTTTTTTGTGCAAATGCTTTTTAAAATTTTAGGCTGAGAGGTTCAATGTTTTGCTTACTTCGCTCAGCGGGTACTGTGTCGGATTTGAGGCAACGTCTCTTCCGTAATCAATCATCTGGCCGCACTTGGGGATGTCGTCTTTCCACACGCCCTCATACAGCTGTCCTTTGTCCAAATAATAGAAAGATCCAGGTCCATTCTTCTTGTCAAACAGCCACTGCCCCTCATAGCGGTTGTCATTAGCTATAGTTAAAAAATTAAAATTATACCGCAACATTTTTATCTACTAAAAAATTTTGTATGTAACTGAACAATACTACTGATACACCTACCCTAATTTACTGAACTTAACTGAAAAACGACATGAACACAAGAAATAAAGTGCGTGTTTCAAATTGATAGACAAAACTTACGCAGCCTAAGCATGCCCTTTCCGTGTCGCATGTCATCGTACCATTCACCTTCATAAACGCTTGTGTCCACGTAGTAATGTCTACCCCATCCTGAGCGTTTGTCTTGATACCACTCCCCTTCGAAAGTTTCGTTATTAGGATAAAATTGGGTACCGTATCCCTATGAAAAATATAGAGTACAGGTTCTTTACATAAGATAAGATATTTTAATTGGCAATTTAAGGTTATTTTAAAACTCATTTTAAAAATCGAAATAGTAATTATGCTTGTAATAAGCCTCAATTTAATTTTAAACTAACATGACGCTTGCCATTTTTCCAGCCGCCTGCATAGAGACGCTTATATCCTCCGTTTTTATCTGGGATGCTCAACGTTCCAAAACCATGCATCTTGTCATCTTTCCAATCTCCGTCATATACAGCCCCGTTCTTCCACTTCTGCGTACCCTTTCCTTAAGAAATTTAAAACTTTTGATACAAAAGCATTTAAAAAATTTTTTTAACCGGCAATAACGCATTATTTCGTGGACCATTTCTCGAGTCAATTAATTTTTAGGACAATTTTTAAACAGCTATGAAACTGAGATCATTTAATCCATAAAAAAAATCTTTCGACTAGACCTATATAACCCACTCACCCAAAATCGTTATGGTTGATCTTACTACATCTGGGTTTACATTATATCGAGAGTAATCACCAGTACCAAAATGATAAATCAGTCCCATTTGCACCAAAATAAAAAATCAATCGCGTTATTACTAAAAAAAACATTCAATTGGCCGAAGACTACTAGGCCGACTATTTTAAGCTCTTGGTTTAAGGTCGCCGGTAAATAATAACCATCTCCTTTTTTCGTATACAGTCCTACTCTCTGTTGGCGAGCTCGCAACACGTTGGCGCGACTGCGGCGCTCACTATTCTGCTGTTTAGTTTTCTTGTTTGAATAGTAAAAAAATTAATGTAATAAATCGCTGGCTCACAATTCGACCAATCCGAAATCAAGTTGAATAATTTTGGTACAAGTGGGACCAGTTTTTCATTTTGGTACAAATGAACAATCTTTTTACAAATGGGACTTCGCCCGTTATCTTAACAAATAGCTGCGATGACAAGGAATTGTCGAATTGGAAAATTGTGAATATGCTTGAGGATTTCAAGTTGACACAAAAAAGCCCAGTATTACTCATTGCTCGATTCCCAAAATTGAACAGAAATTGAAATAAAAAATTGTGTACCCGCAGAACCACCGCATTCTCGATCAATCGAAAAACCTGAAAATTTAATTTAGCTGAAAGCAACTCGCAACAAAATAAAATATGACTAGATCAGCAAAATTGGCACATAATTGGAGTTGCTGTATTCGAAAATTAATGCCGAAACTACCAAATAACGGAACTTAGTTATTTTTGGAAACTACAAGGAAACTGCAAATCCAATAGACTAAAGGAAAATCTTATGGATATTAGGTTTGCTTGGATTAGCTGGTTATCAAAGCAAATCTATTATCCAAAGAGCAAAATCTCTTTGAACAACGAGGATTATTGGTTTTCGACTATACGAGTATTGTTCTGCTCTGTGACGCTCTGTCTTTAGTTTGAACGGAGGCGGAGCGATAAGCAGAATGGTCCAAGGGCAGAATGGGTCCAAGAGCAGAAAAAAATTGACTTTTATTAGTTTATATGGGCTAATTGATGAAAAAAAAAAACATTATTAGAATTGTCAAAAACAGCAAGAAAATGCATAATTTTTACATGAATTGAATAGTTTCATCTTGATTAAAGTGATTAAATTATGCTTAAAATATTCCGTTTGTTTTTAATGTTAGTTTTTATACATTTTGTGTAATTTCTACACATCCATTTCTATTCCGGTTTTACAGGTGCTTTGTTTTTTAGATTGGCTGATGATGACTTTTATGTCGAAAACGTTTCTGGAATTTATTTTACATTGATCTGCCGTTTTTACCACTTAAAATATTCGTTTGTATGGTAATCTTGACATTTCTTATGATTAATTTACCGATTAGCTTGTAAAAACTAATATTTTTCTGTTTTTCTGCTCTTGGACCCATTCTGCTCTCAGACCATTCTACTTATTGACTTAGCCACCAGTTTGAACAAAGATTCAAAATTATACAAGCATAACAATCTGACCTGTTTTCTTGTTTTTAACCCAATCTCCTGCATATTCATTTCCGTTGACCCAGTAGACTGTATGAAGAAGTCCAGATTTATTAGCTTTTTCGTCCCATTCCTTCCAAAGAGGTTCAGATTTTGTATCCAGTTCCTTTAAAAACGGCATTTTAACTACTGCTAAAATGAATAGGGAAGAAGAAAATAAATATTGCTTCTTTTACAACATGAGCAGTTTTCTTGAAAACAATAAACGAACGAATATTTTGATTGTTTCTCAAAATTTTTCTTAAGAAAAAAACGAGATTCCTCTGTTTCTTTTGTGAAACATTTTTTTTTTGTCCAACAATTTTCATTCTCTTACTGTAATTTAAAATCAGTAATTTTCAAGAGAAAAAATTCGAATAATTAATGGTCATGAAAAACTGGTCATGAAAATGATTAAAAATAAAAACTAACATGGAACAATTTGTGATACAAAAATGTCTGTCGGATTAGCAGTATTTAGACAACCGCGTCAGTAAGCAGACAAATAATGTATTAACCAATCAGAATCGAGACAAAGGAAAAAAATAATAATTAATAGTTATTTATTTCGTAAGTTTGCTTTCTCATATCGGTTCAGATTGGTTGAGAATGCTTACTGGCAAGAGTACGCGATTGTCTAAATACAGACCGCACTCCAAAATGTCCATAGCCTCTTATGCTGAGAATTAAATTTTATTGATATATAATTATTTAAAACAAATTAGCATAGAAACTTCCGATCATTATAAAAAAAATCACTACGAAACTTTTTTTTCAATTTGCATCGTATTTTTTTCATGTGGTTATGAAAGGCTCTGAACGAAAGCCTAGAACTTCAATAAATATATAGAAATTAATTCCCATAAAATCACTAAAAAAGTTTCGAAAATACATTTTACTGGATTATAACTAAGTTTTTTTCGGCTTAACTTGATTTTTAATACTACTATTTATGCTAATTTCAAGCCTATTATAAGTCTTTTATTTTCGTTTTGTTTGCTCGAATTTAGACTAATTATCTCGATAATGAGAAATTTTTTGCAAATTTGTTGATATAGTTCGGATCAGGAGTGAAAGGGCTTCAGTATGATATATCACTCAAACCGTTACTATGATTATTTATAGTACCTGATTGTGCGTGAAAAACAAAAAAAAAAGAAAAACTAAAGCACCTTCGAAGACGAAGTTCCTTCATTTTCAATTGTCGGAATAAGAAGTTGTTCAAAGTAGTTTCTGAGTTTTCCAATTTTTTTTCTGGCCATAGAAATGGTATCGCGTAATAAACTATTCGTTCTCTGATTGAAATCTTTTTCTCTTCTAACAAATAAAAAAATAGGTAATTTACACGACGGTTGATTTAATTATACGGCTGACTTCATTATAAAATAAGGTTTATCCTGTTCCTAGGTTTGCCTGCCAGTGAATTTGTTTTTTTTGTTTTGACTATTGAAAAGTGACGGGAATTTTGTCTTTTGCTGTGTTGCAGTTTGATTTGCTTTTGTTCTCCACACAGTGAATTTGTTTTTTTTGTTTTGACTATTGAAAAGTGACGGGAATTTTGTCTTTTGCTGTGTTGCAGTTTGATTTGCTTTTGTTCTCCACACAGAATCAGGCTTCACAATTAATCATCGGAATGGGTCGAGTGATACATCATAATAAAGCATTTTCAGTCAAAAAATTGTTACGAGGTTGAGAGAAACCGGTTTGAAAATTTTGACATTGAGTGTTATTTTAATTGAGGCTACGGAAACTTGATGTTAATTAAAGGAAAACTAGTTTTTGAAGCTCTATTAAGCTCTTAAGCTGAGTTTTAGTTTTTTATCATTTTTTGAAAAAAATTGTTGTCGATTATGCCTAATTCATTTAGTTTCTACGCGTTTTTTTTCTCTCATCACGTTGCGCACAAAAAACCACACTATTTCCAAGAAAAAACAACCTAATTTTGTAGTTTTTTGAAGGTGATTGGAACATTATCTGCTACTTGCACAGCAACAGGCTATCCTTGTTGACAATTTCCAATTTGTAGATAACTTTGGTAGGAATTACAACAACAAAACTCTGCAAGTTTTGCATTTTTTGAGCCATTACTCTAATCTGGCAAATAAATCAATTGGTATCCGCTGCTATTTTTGAGTAATTTCAGAAATGTCTGAAGAGTCTGATTCAACATCAGCAAACAACGTCGAGAACACTGAGAAGGATGCGGACGAAATCGTAACCGATAATGCTGCTCAATTAGAAGAACAAATTCAAAATTCTGTAAACGCAGTTATTGACGCTGTAGCCGATAATGGGACTGGGGACGAAGGAGCTGACGAAGACACAGAAAATACTTTGGCAGAGGAAACAGACGCAGTAAAAGAAAATCTGCCTGCGTCAGAAGAAGAGGAAAAACAGCCAGAAGAAGTCGAAAAACAGCCAGAAGAAGTCGAAAAACAGCCAGATGAAGACAAAAAACAGCCAGAAGAAGTCGAAAATACTGATAATAACGATGAACTAAATTTTGAAGCGGAAAGAGAAAGTAGAAAGAGCGATGAATCTAATCTGAAACCAGAACAATTTGTTGATCCCGACGTATCAGTACATACAGAACCGAAAAGCTTACAGGATACACCGGAGAGCTCCGCAGATGTTAACAAAACAGAAGTACCTCCTGTTACAGAGGTTTCTGCACAAGTTGTTCATTCTGAGCCGACACTTGTTGAAGCAAACGAGGAAGAGCTTCTTCATAAAATTCCCGAAGATTTTTATTACGATCACCATGAATTGGTGACGAAACCCAGAGTATCCGAAAATTCAGAAATACCCGAATCCCTTCTAACTTTACAGTAAGAACGTTATATCAAATATTATGTTCATTTTTTAATGGTTTATCTATTATTTTTTAATAAGTCAATGTATTGCTGTTCCGACTTTCGAAGAAAACGGAATATTTATGCTCGGTATGAATTTTTTCATTCAATCATTTTTCGCCAAACATTTTTTATATCCTATTAAAGATATCGACTTCCTGAGTTCAAAATTAAAAAGATATTTTACCCCCAATCATTTTTTGTAAAAATCTAGGGGTTTGAAAATTGCCAAATTGGCTATGCTCTGGACTAAATAATGCGCGCTTTGAAGAGTTTATTGAAAATTTTGAGAGTGTAACGCGAATTATTTATGCGTGGTGAATTATCCCGAACAACAAAATCGTTCCAAATTGAATTGAGGCTAGCTAATTGGTCGTATTAATTTCGTACCACTCAAAATTTTACACTTTGATTTTGTCCAAAATTTATAGGTTTTCAATATTTTCATTTCCCAAAAACAATTCGATATGATTTAAGGGACAGTAGGAACATTCAGGGCTTTGCCCTGATATACGAGCAGTCTTGCTGTTTTTAATGCATTTTCGATAGCGCTGCGAAACATTGTCTTCTCTTTGAGTTTCGATTTTTGTGGCATATGAGAGACATTTATTATAATTGAATTAAAGGCTAAATTTGATTCTTTGCATGCTCCCTTAATGTAAAAACTGAGTCAATGTGGTTATCGAGCGTTGAGCGCATTTGTTTATGTCAACACTAGCTGAAAAAATTAATTTTTGCAATTCATCTTGTGAAAGAAAAAGTTGTACAAAACTTGGATTTTGTTGCTTGGCAAAAATTGGTGGACAATTGTCCCGACCATTGAAAATGGGGAGCAACTTTTGTATAGTGTGTGTTTTTTTTGTGTGTTGTGTAGACAATAAAGGTTGCGCATTTTGCCCATTTTTTGTTACCGTCCAGTATGCCTAAATTTTAGGGTTTAGTGCAGACCCGTTTTATCACACCCACAAAAAGAAAAAACAATTGAAAAAAAAATTTTAAAAAATCGGTTTACGAATTTTTGGCTTTTTTAAAAAAAATTATCTAAGAACTAAGAATCAGTAACGACCCAAGTTTGTAGCACTTAATCATATAAACATATTTTAATTGTTTGGAGGGGTTAAAAACTATTTGAGACCAGTAAATGAGCAGTCTAAACGTTCAGGGCTTCGCCTAGTTGTGAACCGTCTCTGTGTTTTGGCTTTATCTTTTTATTCCGACTTTTTTACTGGTCTCAAACCAAAGCTATTTGAGACCAGTAAAAAAGCAGTCGAAACATTCAGGGCTTCGCCTAGTTGCCAGCAGTCTCGGTGTTTTGACTTTTTCTCTTTGTTCCGACTTTCGAAGAAAGTGCGGATTATTTATGCTTTGCGCGATTTTTTTTATTCAGTCAGTTTTGGACTTTTCAACTAAGCATGTTCCACGGAATTTTTTTCATTATGTAAAAAACATTGTTTTCTTGAGCTCAAATTTAAAAAGATAATTCACCTGTGATTGTTTTTTGTTAAGTTATGGGGATTTGGAAAATGTTAATTTGATCAATTTGGGATAATTAACGCGCGATATACTGCGTTCTTTTAACACGCGTAAGCGGTGGATCAATAAGTTCCAACTGAATTGAAGCATCTCATGTATTCTGGGAAGACAAGACGCTATACGCCAAATACGTCCTTTGTAGTTTACATTAGTGTGTGTTGGGAAAAATACGAAAAAAAAAGAAAAAAAAACTTTAGTTTTTTTTATTTTTTGGTCAATTTAGAAGCATTTTTTTTTTAAAATTGGCCCTAAAGTTCAGTCGGAAAAGCCTTAAAGTGCTTTGTCCTGTTATTTATGAAAAAAGAGTCTTGTTGAATCTGTTTTTGCTTCAGCTTAATATTTGTTTTTGTTCTAGTTTCATGGTTTTGGTCTCAATGGTTCTCCCCTTTTTTCAACTCTAAACAACTTAAAACCATAGATAACTTAACTCCCTTTTTTGTTGCCTCAGCAATTTAACATCGCCACAGTTTAAAACCATTTTTATAACTTAACACCGTTTTATTCCAAAATGAAAATAAAACTTACTTGGGCACTTCGGCAAGCATCTAAGAATTAAACGAGAGAAATTTTTGCCATTTAAAGCCAGACAATTTTGGGCTACTTAATTCGCTCAAGTTTTGAGCAGAAATGACTTTGCCAATAGTTTCAATGAATCTTTCCAAAATTAAATGCAATGAACTTGCATATAATTTCATTTTGGAACAATAAATTGCGAATCGTTCCAAAATGAACCAAAAACAAGCAATAGTTCAATGAGTTTCAAAGGCCCGCAAATAATTAGACGGCCTTTGACTAATAGGGCCTAGATTTCCAGACATTTTGAGCCAGTACAGGAATAGTAAAAACAGTTTAATCAACGCCAACAGCCAAAACATCTTTCACATTGAGAACCGTTCTCAAATTTAAACATATAACGTGATAGCTTTTTCAGCTTTTTTTTTCGAATTGTTGGCACATAAACGCAAAGAAAGCAACCCGACAATTAGGGCGATTGTCCTGTGATAAAGTTGCTAGTGCACGAGTCAACTTCTTGCGTTCAGTTACGTTTCCGGGAATCTGCAAGGAATCAAAAAAAGCTGACAAAATTTAAGTAGGATTAAAAACTAGTTTTAATAATACGAAATGACAAACAAAAATGAGAAAATTTTTTCACTGGTTCAACCCAAACTAGATAATGCTCTGAAAAAGTACAAGTCAGTTTTGTTTTGTTTCGGACACTATGTTTCGTACTCTTTCATTTAAAACACGGTATGGTTTTTTAAGAACTTATGGCCACTCGATGCATCAAAAAAATTAATTTTCTGTACAAAGGCAGTTTTTCGCAGCTCATTACTTTTCGCTGCCCACTACTTTCCACCAGTTTTTCTTTAGTTGGGAGGGCAATTGTCACTCCCAAAACCGCACTAGTAACTGCGACAGTCGGTGTATATCTCTCGCTGAGATTTCTTAAATGCCTGATGACATTTTTTTTATGTGCTTGACAACTTTACGTCAAATTGTTATGAATTAGCACAAGCTGGTTTTTTACTAATCATAATTTTTTAGTGAAAAATCTAATCGAAAATAAATTGCGAACTTGTCGATAAGGGTCTTAAGTAGTTTAGGAAGCCTCATTTTAGCATAATTTTCAACACGATGCAGGGTAAATTGTTTTGTAGTGAAGTGACTACGTGTTAAAATGTACGGCGTTAAATTGGCTGGTATTAAATTGTAGGACACCAGTCTCAATATTTGTCAATCCATTTAAGAGCCGAGGAAATTTTCAAGTTTGCTGTCGTTACATTTCGTTTCTGTGTTGAATTTACATTTTGTGTTGAAATGGTTTCTGGTTCTCACTTGTACCCGTGTTTTCTCGAATATGAGCCGCATTTTTTATTGATTTAATCGGGTTAAAAACATTTGTTTCATTTGAATGTGTCTTTTTTTGAGAACTTTTCTTACTTCTGTAATTTTGTGATGAATTATGATACTAACGGAAAATTTTTCAACAACAAAGCCTAGTTTTACAATTAAAAGGAGCTTGGTGCGTCCTGGCTGGAATCTTTTTAATCTCTCGCTCCTAGCCAGATACTAATTTTTCAGTATACATGAACTTTTCAGTATTTTTAAACATGTTTTTTACCATTAAGGTTGTACAACATTTGTTTAAGGTTGTACAACTATTAAGGTTGTTCAACTTTTAGGTTGTGAATACAAAACTGTTTTTGTTAATTGCAATTATTTTTTACATGTGATTTCAAAATAGGTATTTTTATTTTTGATCGATTTAAAGTGACAATTGCATCATTTTTAGCCACGCGTTTGGATATGATTGTACAAAGAGAGCCAATCTTCATATTCTAGACGAGGACCATCTCCTCTTCTCTGCCGGCTCCCTCACAGTAGTTTTGAGCATCAAGTTGCGCAAACATACTTATCTGAAAGTGATCGGCGGAGGATCGGTCGGCGCCTTAACTGTTAGTGATTAAGGTCAAATTTGGATGCAAGTTTGTGTTTTTTTTTCGTATAAAAGCTTATGAAACAATTATTTTAAATTGATTTTGATGTTATTTATTTCGGCAATATTGGTTTTGTGAATAATGTCCTTCAGGGAGGCCTCCTCTAGGATTCGATCCCCTGACTATCTAAAGGGTCCCTTCTTTGGCAGTGTTTAACGACATCAACGTTCGGTCCAGCAACCCTAAATTTCTTTTAGAAGCGCCTTGACCGCCAAGATATTCAAAGTTTTGCTAATTATTTTCATTAAAGATTGCTCAAGACACTTATTAGCCCTGTCGGTACCAATATTTTGTGCATTTACTTAATAATTGTCACAGAAGTATTAGTTTGACTACTTACATTTCGTGTGAAAAAAGCATCTTGCTTTTCAGGTACATCCACAGCGGAAGTCCTTCGTGGTCGCAGAAAAAGGAAACAAACCCAATATTTGCGTCTATGAGTACCCAAGCCTGAAACTCTATCGAATTTTACGAGAGGGAACCGAGGAAACTTACTCCTTTGTCACCTTCGATCCTAGTGAGTATTGAAAAAAAATTGAAAATTTGTGAAAAGATTGTATTAAGGCAACAATTTGTAAAAACAATTGAGGTAGGTGCAGACCAAAAAAGCGGTTTTGGGCTTAAAACACAAAAGTGTTAGCTATCATTTTCAACGCAAAAATCTGGTAAAATTAAGTTCTTAAGTGTTTCAGGATTTGGTCTTAATCCTAGATTTGCTCTTTTGTGGTAGATTTGAGCTTTCGTCATCCAAAAAAATGTCAGCTGTATCTTTAAGAAGACTATTGTTGGGACCAGCGAAAAAGATTAAACAATAGAGAACGTGTTAATGGTCATAGCAGTTAAAAATAGTCTCTTCCAGAAAAGTATTCTTTTGAAAGAGTATTTGAATTGTTCCAATCAATATACCCAGGATCGAGAAAAACTAGGTACGTTTTAGATGAACCTCTCAGAAACTTTGGAATGTTTTGCCTGAGGCGTATCGTAAAGGTATTTATTCTAAATAGACATAAGAAAAATGGCTGGAAGAATCTTCTTCCAGTTTTCACTTAACGATTTTATTGGTGTCAATCAGCCTGTAGGTATGAGGCTCAATTAATAGAGGCAGTGGCTGCTGAGCGTATAATTTAAACCCAATAAAGGAGACGACGACTAGCGAGTTTCTGAAGTCTTTAAAATTTCAGACTTTTTTCATTTTTTATCCAATTTAGCCGAGTGTTTTCCGTCAAAAATGGTTGTACAAATTTTCTTGCAATATTTTTTACCTAACCTGAAATCTCTTCCACGTTTGTGATCGAAAACTTGATTGTAATTGCAGATTTAATCCGTCTTCGAAGTTCTTCCAACTTGAATTGATGGTGTAGGATCTATTGAATACTTTACTATATGCGAAATGTAACACTTGGTACTTATAACACAAAAGCATGTGAGTGGATGATTTTCAAAAAAATCTTTTTTTTTTAAAATTTCATTTTTGTTGAAAATTTTATCAATTTTTAAAGCATTCAGTACTTCTCAGATCTTACAAGGCAGTCGGAACATGTACGGCTTTGTCCTGATAGAGGCAGTCTTGTCGATTTGGTTCAAGAGACTGTAGATTTGGGGCAGCGCCTTCAATTTCAAGGTTGAGCCCGCCGGCCTCTCAGAGTTGCTAACAATATTTGATTTTTCTACTATCTTATGAAATATGCAAAGTACGGAGTAGAAATTGTTCCTTCTTCTACCCTCTAAAAATAGGTAAGTTTACCTTAAAAAGTAACTTAAGTTACCTCAACAGTTGAGGCAAAAAGTGCTCACCTTAACCTTGCCTAAAGCCACCTCAACTGCTACCTACCTTAATTCATCTCAAGTTTACCTTAAAACATGTGGGCGAACTACCTTAACTTTTACTTTAACTCACCTCAACTTTACGTTAAAAATTTAGGTGAAATTACCTTAAATTTTACTTTAAGTTACCCCAAGCTTACCTTGAAAATTTATCTGAACTGTGTATTCACCTTAACAATTAAGGTAAATATTCAATTTATTTTGGGGTAATTTCGGGTAAAACTCAAGGTAATTTCACCTCAAGTTTTAGTTCAAAGTTGAGGTAAGTTAAGGTAATAGTTTAGGCGGCCTAAGGTAGTTTTACCTATTAGGGTAAATGTTAAGGTAATTTTTTCAGGCAAACTTGAAGTGACTTGAAGTAAAAGTTAAGGTAGTTCCCCCTCAATTTTAGGTTAAACTTGAGGTGAGTTAAGGTAGTAGTTGAGGTGGCTTGAGGCAAAATTGAGGCGTGCATTTTTCGCCTTAACTCAGTTAGGGCAAATTTTTAAGCTAAGTTTTACCTTAACTTTTTGATTAGTTCGTTTGTTGGATTTTTTAATTGCTATTAAGCACAAACAGATTCAATTAGTAAAGCAATCCAGAATGTTGAACAATAGGGCGCAATTTAGCTTGACTTGCATTTTACATGCAAATTGTATACAGAACCGCCACCGGGAAGGCCTGCACCATTAGATCTAACGAAATATGAGCATTTTTGAGCTGACGAAAAAAAATCTGGTGATAAATATGTTAGAAGACAATCAATTTGAACGGAAATCATTCAAAAAAAGTACACTCATCAAATAAACAAATCAGTTAAATAGAAGACAAAGTTAGTACTTACCTGAAAGCTAAAATACCCTAATCGGGAATCACTAGAATTGAAACAGAAGAAATTTTCTTTTTCTCAGACCATAAACATGAGCATTGGAACGTCAAAAAGAAGCCGGAAACAAACAACTAGCGTTCCCAGTCGATCAATTAAAAAGCAAAGCAAGTGCTATATTGAACACTCAGTTGCAAGACCAGAAGGAATTTTTTTTTCTATAGGACACTCTTCTGTACAACTCATGTCATTACTATGAAGAAACCGCCCAGCTTTGTTTAGTTTTTAAGATAGATTAGGCAATTGTCATCCTTTCCTTGAAGCCTGACTTGAATTCCAGCCCTTGTCGAGAAAAAACTGAGTGTCGTCAAAAATTAAATGTTTTTTTTTTTTGTTGGATTCTCAAGTTCAAGTCAAATTGATGCAAAAATTTCGTGGTCCGACAACTGTGTCATTTTCACTGCTGCCAGTGGTATGGCAGCGATTTTGTTAGCAAAACTGATAACTAAAACAAAAAAAGATGATGTAGTTTCTTACTGAATCGGCATGGCTAGGGTTTTAGTACTACATTCCAGGATATTCATTTTTTTAACCTAAAAATTTTCTCATATCTCATATACTGACATTTTTGAAAGTACAGTTTTTTCTCCTGTGTGACTAGTCAAAATCGAAGTTTTTTGTTTGTCAGACATTTTGGATTTAAATAAACCTTATTTAGGCGGAGAGCTGCTGGCTTCGCTGGGCGGCAAGCCGGATTACATGCTTACTATCTGGAACTGGAGACATGAGCACATTACTCTGAGGTGCAAGGCCTTCTCCCAGGAGATATTCAGAGTCTCTTTTTCAAATGACCTCGAAGGCATTCTCACAACTGCAGGTCAAGGTCACATAAGGTCAGTGTATAGGAAATTTAATTAGGTTAATAATTAAAAATCGAATTCAAATATGTTGACCGAGGCCTGGGAAGCCAGAAACAGAAACTTAACTTGATTATATTGGTTTTCCATGTTTACCTACATCGATTTGAAAGGCCTAGTTTGATGAAGAAACTTGGTGAAAACTTTCAGGGGGAAATGACGTTTTGGTGCACTGTTTCAAAGGCTTTGCAATACAATTGATTTAGCTTACAAATCGAACTTTTAAGTGGAATTTTAAATTACCTCTTGCGCAAAAACTTGCGCTGTTTACTTAAAGGTTTGTCTGGAAGCGCAAGATTTATACCAAAGTTTTTCGAGACTTTTTTAAATGTGATTCTTTTGAATGCAGATTTTGGAAGATGGCACGTACGTTCACTGGTCTAAAGCTGCAGGGAGAGATCGGCCGGTTCGGCAAAACAGAGTTGTCAGATATCGAAGGCTATGTGGAACTACCCGATGGCAAAGTGCTCTCCGGATGCGAGTCAGGTAAGTTTCGAAAATCACAATTTTGTGAATATAGCAGTACTTATCAGTTGAGTTGCAAGATCAAAAACATGAATGATTATAGTTTGGTGACCGCGTCTAACATCCTAACTCTAATTAAAAGTATGCATCTACTGTAATGATTTTTTCCAATATTATCACGCTTGCGATTAGCAAGCGTAATCAAACTGGAATATAGACTTTTTTCGGGTTAAGAACATATTTAACAGAATCACTTGAATCAATTGGTATCTTGGTTCACAATGAATCTAATTTCTAAGCGCCTGGTCTGGAGGTAACCAATACGCTTTATAGATTGCGGCGTATATTGTATCGGTTTATTGGCCTCATATTGCGCCTTTCGACAAGCAAAAAAATTTTATGTGTGCGTGTCTGTGTTTTGAGGTTGAGGGGGACTTAACATCTTCATAGTCTTAATATTTTTAAAAAAATATTTTTTTGGCTTTTTTATTTTCTTTTTTTTGGGCTTAATAGGTTTCGGCCTATTCTATATCGGCTTAGAGTCCTCATGTTGTTTCTTTGACGAGCAAATGAAGTGTTTTGAGGTTGAGGTGGACGTATTAACTTTTCAGACGTCTGAAGTCTTGTTGATTTTTTTTCGGCTTAAAGGGTTTCTGACAAGGTATTTTCGGCTTTGTTAGCGCTAGTTACTCTATCTCCCGATACTTATTACACATTTATTGTCTTGTCATTTTTTTGTTTCAAAACTAGCCCTATTCATTTTAGTAGATCTAATTTTTTTGACCTGTTCGGTTTTTTTTAGTATTTTTGTTTTGTATCGCAAGTTATGCGAAGCTCAGCTTCACCTCTGTGTGTCAAACTTCATGTTCATCATTCATTTTTGTCCCCATTACAGTAGATGCCTAGTTTTGCTCGGAATCAGGTTGTTAGACGCGGCCAACAATTATTAAAAAATAATATATAAGCGTTTTTACCCTCATTTTTGTCCTGTCGTATACCTTGGTACTCTAGCTTTATTTGAACTGTCTTTGAATTTTGACATATAGGTAACATGTTGCTATGGGATGGTGGCCTTATCAAAGTCCAAATCGGGCGCAAAGGCAAGAAGCCCTGTCATTTGGGTCCAATACAGCAGTTCATTATGGACGAGGGGGAGCTGCTGACTGTGGGAATTGATGGCTATATACGCGTTTGGGACTTCGAGTCCATAGATCAAGCGGAAGCTACGGATGAAGGGGCTCTGTTTGAAATGGACTCAATGAATGAACTGCTAGTCAAAGATGAAAACAACAATAAGGTCTGATCGTTTAAGTTGACTTCTTTTGACAAGGATAAAGATATTTGAACAAGTTAAGATACTTTTCGACGATGTATTATAAGAAGAGGAGATACTTGAGTTTAAAATTTAGTTGCTTTTATTTTCGGCTATTTGGTTTTCTATTGATTTAGGCGAAATCTAGAAAGTATGCTACTTGAGTTACTATCTTGCAAAATGTCCGTTATATAACTTTTTTTTCCCATTTGGAACAGTCGTTTTTTTTTCAAGCCTACTAGAACGCACACGTCGAAAGCGTTTTATGAAATTGTGATCATTTTAGGCCATGTTGAAGTGGATGATCAAGGCGCTAGATGGAGACAGTCTCTGGTATGCACAGGATGCAGATGGGGGAATCTGGAAACTCGATCTCAGTTTCTCGCATACGGTTCGTTTCATGTCTTATAAAGCATCATCTATACTTTTGGCCCTTGATTCTTCCTTTGCGAAAATAAAAGATAATTTTTGCGCGACGCTTCAGCGAATTTTTTTTTCGAGACAGTATGACTCCCTTTGCTATCTTTCTGGTTTGTTTGAAGGTTTTTTTTCTGGTTTCCATTGTGGGTTCGTTTACTTTTTAAGTGCCTGCTGACTACGTAGCTTTTGTTTGCAGACGAAGCCACCCGAGAAGATGTTTTCGTTCCATGCCGGACCCATCAATGGCATGAGTTTCTCGCCCCTCACTGATTTGACAGTTACCACTGGAGCTGACAAGACTGTGAGAGTGTATGATTACGTCACCAAACACCAGCTATGTGTGCAAAAGTTCAGTGCAGCTGGCACATGTACCCAGTGGATGCCAACCAGTGTGAGTATCTTTATGGAAACTTTGTGGAACTTTGTGGAAACTTCAAAACGTCAATGAATTGTTTCATATTAATTCCATCAGTCTGTTACGAGTACATCAAGATGCAACATAATAATATCATTTATCAATTTCTTTGATAATGTAACTTAAGGTTCTGTTGGAAATCTTATATATGGCGATATCTTTCATATTAACTTTTTTTTTAATTCAGTTATGTTGCCTTGAAGTAACTGTGTCTTTTAAAATCTCTTTTTCTGTAGAATAGTTTTATAGAGATGACGCCCTTAAATCTTAGCTGTTGGTTTTCAAGGTCGACCCAAAGGGCTCCACCATCGTATGTGGCTTCGGAGACGGAGTGCTGCGGGTGATGCGCGTCACTAAACGGGAGCTGGACATACACCGGAAGTCCCGCATGGGCTCTGCCAGTTTCACCCTCACCCAAGTGCTCAAACCACACAATGCTGACGTCACTGCCATTCAGTTCAACCAGGACTACACTTACCTTGTCACAGGGGTCAGACTAGTTCAATCATATGTTTAATGGTTAACAGAAATTGTGGCATTTGCGACAAATCTACTGTATTGAATTTGATCGTCGGGCAATTAAAACTCTTTTTTAATGCTCTCCATAACTGAGTTTTAGCTGGAAAAAGTTATTTAATGCTATATAATATATTTACTGAACGTTAATTTTCTGGTATTATTTTGGAAAAACACACAGATTACAATTGACAAAATTAAACGAAAAAAAAAAAAAAACACTGTCTGAAATGTTTTCAGCTGGGCTTTTTCTGGTTTGATACAAAAATAGCGAACAATTTGAATTTAACACAGCGATTTATGTCAAACCTATAATTATCTTGCATGTTTTGATACGAAAAAATGGAAATCGTATGTATCTGTGATTTTTCAGAGTTCAGACAAGACCATTTTCTTCTTCTCTGTCGACCAAGACTTCAAACTAAACCCTATTGGATACACTTCAATCCCTTGTGCAGTGCAACAACTGCAGCTTGCGACCCACTTAGCCGAAAACAAACTGCTGGTCATTGGAGATAACGGAAGAGCGATGGACATGGCGCTTCCCGAGCCTGGGTCTGTGGACTCGTCTAAAACGTTCCAGATATCTGGACTAGCGTCGAGGGAGTTCCGCTTCAAGAGTATAAAGGACCGCTTGAGGGTATGCTAATTACTGAGATTAAGAAAATTGCCGTCTCAAAACTGGTGGTCTATCTTTTGTCCCATTCCTGTTCAATGCCTGCAAAATGATTATTTTGGGACATGTTTTTGCAAAATTTTTCAGAATGGAAAATGGCGAGCGAAAGAATTAAACAATTTTGTACTGATAATTCTGGATCAATATCCTGCTGTATTTATTTGAAAATAATCAATAGCAGATTTGAGGCTCTTTCAGGGATTCGACTTCCTGATCAGTTGAAGGGTCCTTTGTTGGTATTATTTTCCGCCAAACATTTTTGGTCGACCAACCGGGCGCCCATATGAAGCTTGATCAAAACCTTCCAAAACAGCTCCCTTAAACTTTTTTGGCCAAAAACTTGCCTTCGGCTTAAAAAATTTGAAAACATATTGGTTTTTATAGTCTTTTGGGAGAGATCGGAGAAAATCAATTTAACCGATCTATAAAAAATTGATTTCGAGAAAATCCTTACTCTGCAAGAAAATCCTAATTCCGCGCCTGAAAATAAGTACGAAATGCTTCTACTTAACCCGTTCGAGTTTTACCTTTCAATGCTCTTGTTGCTGTTTTGCTCTATAAAATTGTTGTTAATAATCAAGCTAAGTAGCCTATTTTTTTTCCTCTTGAAAACAAAATTACAAGTTCATACAATTACTATTTACTTCAGAGAGAGGAGCGGCGTTTAATTCGAGAGAGGGAGCGAGACCTGAGACGGGAAAAAAGACGCAAAGACAGGCAGAAGAAGATAGATAGAGGCCTCATAGACCCAGAGAAGGAGCCAGAGGAGCCGGACTCGGAGGAGGAGCCGGATCCGGACGAGGGGGTCCCGCTCTACATCCCCGAGACATACCACATCAACACTGGCTTCTACTCCAGAGACGGCAACAAGTTCTGGCTATCTCTGGTAAATTGCAACCCAGTCAATGCCTTAGTTAATGGCCTATCCGTTTTAGATTTAAAGCTTTTACATTAAACTGATATTGGTTTGGTAATTTAATGGAAAAATTTAATGCTCACAGAGGCCGAAAGAATTTTTTGTAAAGGTTAATTTAACGATTTAGTTATAATAATAAATTTTTCTAAACGATATCTAGTTTATAAAATCAAATCTGCATCGCTTGGGTGAACATTTTAGGCCAGCGTGGCCGATTTACAGGGGTTTCAATTCAACTGTGACAAAATTTTTCGATTTCGAGCTGTAAGTAATAATTATTCAGGAAATGAGATTTATTATTAAAAGCACGATCTGAACTGCACTGCTGATTTGAATTATCCGGACTAAAAAAAATCTGTGAAAACTAATAGTTTTTACACTATTTACACCTTATTTTTCGACCATTTGAAAAATGGCGAGCAACTTTGAGTTCGGGTGTGTTTTAGTTTTTTTCCACGCAAAATCCGATACCACAAATATTTATTGGAATGGTTCGAGTGATCATATTAAAAATTTTTGTATGGCAACTGACAGTGACTTGCTGAAAAACTTAATCCAGATAAATATTCTGCATCTTGCGGTTTTGAGTAATAAGCAATATTTGGCCGGTTAACATATCCATCGATGACTACAATATCTGTTTCCCTAGAAAATTTCACGTGGCCCCAAAGCATCACCCTTTTACGCCAAATTATGCTATTGGAGTGATATAATTGCGATGGTAGTTTAAAAAAAAACGTTTGCACCGACATATAATTCAATGATACGTTTGTCTGAAAACACAACATTTTCCAGAATACATTTTTTGGAAATTTTTAGTCCAAATTTTTGTGTTTTTTTTTTGTATTTATGTCCTAAGTTTTGGGTTTTTTTGGTGCTGATTCGGGATTCAAAATCTTTCTCGGCCAGAATTGATTTAATTTTGCTGACTGATACCTACAGAGCTTGTTCAATTGTTTCGAAGCTCTTGAGACGTTGCAAAAGGAGTTTTTTTGCAACCATATATTATTATTTTTTTTTGGGCTTAACATTTTGTTCACCTTTCAACTTACAGCTTTTTCCAAAAAGTCCCAAACTCTAGATTTGTGAATTTTGTTTTTTGATATTCTATATGAAAAACTCTCATTAGTTAAATTTAACGATTTTTTACGGACTCCGGTCTCAAAAAAAAACATTAAAATAAATATTCAAAAATCGAATAGAAAACAAAAAAAAACTTTGCTTCTTCTTTTATGGCTTCATTTTCGCTGCGTAGATTTTCTATGTTTTGTAATTTGCACTTGAAAATTATAAACGAAGTTTTTTTCTTTTCTTTTTCTGTTTTTTTTTGAATATTTGTTTTAATGTTTGTTGAGTCTGTAAAAAACCGTAAAATTTTATTAATTAGAGTTCTTATCAAAAATATCAGATATATTTCAAGTTTGTTTTCACATTTTTGGTCCGGATAATTTAAATCACCTGTATGAGCTAATGAAGTTTTCCAGTTTAAAATAATTTTTATTTACCCTATGAGTATCAACAATTCCATGATTAAATTTTTTTTACAGTTTCCGATATGACACAAGGTGGCAAATATGTTATAATTGTTCGTTTATTATCTTAGAGTGGTTTCGACGCTGGCTTCCTCTATGAGTGTCAGTTTGCGGAGTCGGAGGCAGTGCGTCTGTCTGAGAGCTACGGGGAGCCCCTGAGGTGGATAGAAATCCCCGAGATGCAGGAGAAAGCTGTCAGCTGTCTATCTCAATGGTTGGAATCTCTCAATGTCCTCATTTATCTCAAATACTTGACAATTTGAAAGTTGAGTAATTTTTTAGTACCATTGCAATCAATACCATCAACTGATTGTAAATAATCGGAAAAAGTTTAATGCACGCTTTCTTGGCAAAAGTGGGAGCTTTCAAAAATAATGAATGTAAAATGAGGGCGACAAAAATAATGCTTTTTAACTCTCGTTCGAGTACTCTTTTAGGCATGCAGTTAGATACAAATAATTAATCATTCCTTTTCGTTTATTTTCTTTTCAAAAGAAATACAAGCCATAATTTTTCTCAAAACTTTTTGAGCGGAGTCACCCAATCCTTGAATGAAAATCTGATTTAAGCAGTCTGGCCCAATTTAACTGCATATGCCTCTCTGTCTTCGTATTAATTGTTTTGGGACAGCTCTTGAACAATTTTTTGAAACCAGTAATTGCGCTTACATTTTGACCTAAGTTCTCAGTTTTTTGGTATGCAGTTTCCAATTTGGATGATTAACCTGGGAAATATTGACCGTTTAAGTGTCACTAAAAACACGGAGATGATTCTTCTCGGTCTCGAGGACGGCAAAATCCGAATACAGATCCCGAATGACGTCTCGGATCCGAACGAACCTATAGCATTCAATGATTTGGCCAAATTTTGGGTCCTCCCTATGCACGACACAGAGTCGGGATCGCTTTCAGTCGTGAAAACTTCAGCAAATGGAAAGTTTCTGGTGTCCGCCGGACGAGATGGAAACTTGTACGTTTTCACGTTTCTGCCTCCAGATGAGCTGGAAGAGGCGATGGCGCCTGCTATGCTTCCATCACCAAGAGTAAGAGATGTGCTTTTTGGGTCAAGCTTTTCGTTAGGGTCATGATGTTGTTTTTTAGTGAAATCTGTAGTTGTAATTGTAGTTTAAATTTTTTTTTATGGGTAACTGACTATTTTGAAAGGGTAACCGGCTTATCAGCTGTACAACTGGAAATAGTCAGCTCTACAAAATCTGATCCTGCAGATATTGTGTAAAAGTAAAATGAAACTCGAAAAATAAGTAATCGGAGAAGCAACCGATCTAGTTGAACTGGCATGATTCCTTTCTTGCCTCCGGGAAAAAACCAAGGAAAATTTGTGGCTGAAATTATCTCGTAATTTTTACTATCTGGCTGTTTTTGGTCTCATGGAATGAAATTTCGATTCCCATATGTTTTTACATTCGAAGAATGCCTTAAACATATGAGATCTTGTATGGTCGGTCGGTTCATTGAATTATAATTGAAGTATAATTTATAGTATATTGGACGAGTTTCAGGCACAATGCTCTGTTAAGTGTGTGTGTGTGTGTGTGTGTGTGTGTGTGTGCGTGTGTGTGTGTGTGCGTATGTCTGTGTGTGTGTGTGTTTGGAGCCTTTCACTGATCAGGGGACGCCGCAAGGCGTCCTGTGAGCTGTACAAAGCGGTAGACTCTTTCCGGATTGGTCTGTAGGCAGGTGATATCGTCGTTTTTTCCTATCGTCTCCTTTCTTTCTTCGGACCAGGCTTTGCATCTTATCAAAAAGAGCTTGGAAGACTCTTCTTGTTCTCCGCAAGACTCGCATAACGGATCATCTGTGTATCCGAACCGATTCTGAGTCTGACGGAGGAAAGTGGCTCTGTTGGCTCTCAGTTTGAACAGAATGACTTCCTGTTGTCTCGAGCGGTTCACAGAGCGTTCCAGCGGTTTGCCCCCTGAGGCTCGGCGGTGAGCTGAGGACTCGGGGGCGTTATCGTTGTAGTGTTGGAGCTGTCTGTCTTCGCGCTGTGCGACAAGGTGCTCAATGACGTCTCCTCCTTCTGGGATCTGTTCAAGACGTCTTCTGGCCACCGAGCGCCAGTCTTGTCGGAAGGACTGTTTTCCTATTCATCGGGGTCTTGGTCTGGGTCCTGGTGTCGTCAGGTCGTGTAGGTGGTGTGCTTCTGGAAATCTTCTGTATCTGTCCCACAGCAGCACCGCACTATCTTCGATCTCCTGGTAAATTGGTCCGAAACGAGCGTCTGTCAGTAGCCGAGGCCGGAGTGCCTGTCGTAGTACCGGTGATAACTGTCCGACAGGTAGGCTTTGTCCGACAGGTAGGCGCGTCTGTCCGACAGGTAGGCTTTGATCCACCGAAGAGCGACCGGATGGAGCTTCCTCCTTGCAAGGTCGCGGAGTAGCCCGAACTTCCAAACCCTGTCGAAAGCTGCTTTCAGATCGACGGCAACGACTACGGTTCTCTCACGTCTCTGGAGGCTGTCAAAAGAAAGCATTTTGGGTGATGTTGACTATCACGTCCAGTGTCATCCGGCCCTTCTAGAAACCAGACTGCTTGGGCGGGATTGTTCCCACGTCCGCTACCCACTTCTTCGGGCGCCTCGTCACCATGCTCTCCATCACCTTCGACACGCAGGCAAGCAAGGAGACCGGACGTTAGCTCTTGATCTGCGAGGTTGGCTTCCCGTTCTTCAGGATCGGCACGATGGCGGCATTGCGGCGAGAACCCTGGATGCGGCCTTGGGTCCAGCTCTTGTTGATGATGCTCAGGAGCTTTTGCAGGGCGGCCTTTGGGAGATTCTTGATCATCTCCTGCGAGATCTTGTCCTGACCTGCAGCGCTCTTCTTCATGCTGCGAACCACGGCTGTCAGTTCTTCCAGAGTGAAAGGACTGCCTGTTCCGTCTCCCGGGTCTGGATCTTCTTCCAGTCTCCTCCTCACTTCCAGGTACGCCTCTTTCTGCTTCTGTCTCTCCACCGGGACGCGGTTGACCTGAGCGTAGGTCGCCGCGGCAAGCTTCGCTTTCTGCTTGTGGGTTTTTGTACTTTGCTGCCCTATGACATGGCGGTTTCCGGCAGGGGCTGCTTTTTCCGGCCATCGAAGCCCTTCAACGTCGACCATACCTTCGTGCTGGGCACTCTCGGGTCCAGGGTGCTAGCTTACTCCTTCCAGGCCTTGGACTTTCCGTCGCGGATCACTTCGTCTAGTTTCTTCTTCGCCGGGTCCCGCTGAGTCGCGGTCTCGTCTGACGGGTAGAGCTTCCACTGGTTGAACTTCTCACGGTAGCTGGACCTAGCCTGGTCGCAGTCTGCGTTCCACCACGGCTTCGGTGTTCGGTTGGTGCTGCATGTTGGGACTGAGGCTTTGGCAGCTCTAAGGATCAGCTCCGAGAACCTCTTGTACTCATGTTCTATCAAGCTGTCGCTGAACTCCCACTTCTCGAGCCCCTCGTTCATCTCACATTGGAAGAGAGTCCAGTCCGCCTTCTTCAGATTGAAGTTGCTGCTCTTCGTCTTCTCCTTGGTCTGTACTTTCTCCAGGTGCGTCACTAGGGGAAGATTATCTGACCCCATCGAGTCGTAGATCCTCCAGGTGGCGAGGTGGATCCGACTGCTGTGCAGGATCGTCACGTCGGGCGTTGTTTTGGATTTCCCCCTGTAGCGCGTCGGCGAGCCGTCGTTCATGATGATCATCTGGTTTGCCGCCAGCCAGTCATCTAGTTTGTCTCCCAAGGTGTCTTGCTCCGTGTTGGGATCCCAGAGACCGTGTGCGTTCACGTCCGCACAGATGATCACGCTCTTGTTCAGGGGCCATACGTCCAGGTGTAGATCGGCATCACTCCCATCTGCTCCGCTCCTAGCTAGGGGACGGTAAATAGACCGCACCGGTAGTTTGCCTTGTGCAGTTTCGACCTCCACACCCAAGGCTTTCAATGCCGCACAATCCTGGAAGGTGCAGAGGGTCCAGCCTGTTGCTCACTAAACCTGGTCTGCACATGATGGATGCGCCTCCCTGTGGCTGCTCGGTTTCCGAGAGGTGGATCTTCCTCTCCAGTCTTTCCACTGCCCAGCTGTTCACGTCCGGAGTAGGAGTCTTCTCGAGAAGCTTGGTTTCAACCAGGACCGCGATGTCTACTTTCTCCTCTTCTAGGAACTTGTTCAGACTCACGAACTTCGATCTCCACCCTTCGATGTTCAATTGCGCAACTCGAAGACCTTCTTTCTTGTCGCTGGAGAAGGCTGTTGAGTCTGCAGGATGGGTGCGAGTGCAGCAGGTTGTGATCTTCTGGTTTTTGCAACAGACGGTTTGCACCCGCAGTGCCATCTGTACTTGGCTAGGTTTTTGATTTCCTCCACGGTCATCTGTAGGCATCTTCTGTGGTTCCATCTTCGACAGTCGACGCACCAGATTGACCAGTCCTTGTCACTGGACTTCACTGGTTCTTCACAAGCACCGCATGGCCAGCGAGGGGGACCAGGATTGCTTTCAATATCGCCCGCCGCAAGGAGCAGGCGCCTCAGGTAAGCGGGGTTTCCTGTGCGCCTAGGCAACATCCCGGAAGGGTTTCGCATCTTGACAGCACACACTACTCTGTCGAATGGGGAATTTGAGATCCTCGTTTGATCTGCAGGAGCCGCTGCGTGAAGGCTTCCCATCTTGGCTCCCCTCTATTAAGTTGCATTGAATGTCTACCAATTTGACTGTGTCGTATTACTGGAAAAACGGCGAAGCTGGGTTATTGGAACATGTTCTGACTGAAAAAAAAATTAATTCGTCGTTAGAACCTAAACCAAACTACACCGTCTGGCCAGTTTCAGCGTTTCTGGATGGTTGTATGCATTTTAAAATGTATGCATTTTAAAAAAGAATCAAACAGAACTGACCTCCAGATTAAGTTAAGACTTGTTTTCGGATCAATATCTGCTAAAGTGTATCAGAGCCAATCAATTGAAATGTGGGGTTTTATAATTGTACTTAAAGATGTAGTTTAATTTATTGACCCTCGCAATAAGCAAGCGTGTTGCAACCGGGTACTAGACTTTATCCCCGTTAATAAATTTGTTCACAGAATAGTATTTTTTGAGCGTTTTGAAGTTCCTAATAGTAAAGATATAGATATGCTATGTATCTATGCTATGACATGTTTTGCCTACCAAGGGCTTTTTCTTGCATTGGTAGATGCAAGATCTTGCTGTACGATTGTTTTTCACTGAAAAAGTTTTGTTTTCTTTTCAGCTTATTAGGTATCGGCTTTAATTTGGTCGGTTTCTTAAGCTAATGTTTTATCTACAAGTTTCTAATCGTTTTTTTAAAAAATGGATTTAAGTCAATGGATTTAAGACAATGTAATTCTGAAAATGTTGAATCAACTTTCTGGCCCTCTTTCTATAAACTAAAAAAAAAAACACGAAAAAAATGTTCTTTTTTTTATTTTTTGTCTTTCCATTCCTTTCTATAAAGTTTTAATCGAAACGTTAGCAGCTTGCTGTTAGTATTGTAATTTTTGGTGAAATTAATTGAAGTCTTGGTTTAAACGCGATTTTCTTAGTATAATTTTCAATCAGTTTTTTAGTCACCCCAAATATTTTTATTGGCTCAAGTACCTTTTAGTCTATATTTTTTGGAATGCTTATCACTTTAAGCAGAAGTCTCGAATTTAGAAAGCTTTAAGTGCTATCAGATTGAACTTTTTCCCAAAATTTACTAATGTTACTTTGCTTTAAATTTTTCTGATTTATTAGTTTCAAATATCAAAATTAGTTGCTTTTCGCTCTTTGTTACTTATTGATTTCCTCTCGTTTCGTTAAACAATTTTTGTCATTTGCTATGCCACTTTAAACAAAATATTATCATACAGGTTTTGGTTTTTATAGCCACCACGCGTTTCTGCTAATGAAAAAAAAAAGAAAAAACTTTTGGGGCTCTATTTTTCTTTTGGATAATTTTTCCTCTCAGTATGATTGGACTTGTCCTTGCAACTTGTCGTCCTAATCTCCATAATTTTTGCATTAAATTGATTTGAATTATTGGCATCTCATTTTGTGAAAAAAAAATTCTCTCAATTTTTTTTCAAAAATCCCATCTTGTGTGACGTTTTTTTTATAAAAGTCGACGAACGTAGTTCAGACTCTGATATAGATCGCGATGATTTTTTTTCAGTCTTTAAATTTTTTCAGGCTCAAGTTTACTTTTTCGCTGTTTGACTTTTGATTTATTTTGTTCAATTCAGTTGAATTCATTTCTTTTGTTAAAAGGAGGGCAAATTCCACTATCGAACAGCAAAAGTGTAAAGGTCACCAAAAACGTGATTGACTTCTAGTTTCGAGAAAAGCGAGAGTTAATTTTAGCAGCTGAAATCACATTAAAGTTTTAGTACAATCAAAGGGACTCTGATTCGTCATGTCAAAAAATTTCCTGACATTTGTTCTGAAAATCGAAAAAGTTCTCACGATGAGAAAATTTTCTGACTTTTTTGGTATCCAAATTTTGGTTGTACTGGCGGCTTGAATATGAATTTGGGGAGCAAAAAATCGCACCCGACGCTCTAGCTACTTCCCTTTAGTTCGTGAAGTGGCGGGAACAAAATCAAATTCAGTTTCGCTTGTTTACTGTTATGAAAAAATTATCAATCCGAGCCTTGCATTCTCCTTTTTTTTTATGAAAAAAGGGATGCGAAGTTGAGCATCACTCAGTTTCATTGAAGATTAAAAAAATCACTATTTTGAAGGGGAAACGATCAGTTGTTTTATTTAACATATACCGTGAAAATGTGCTAATTGTTTGTATAAACTGGATTTACATCAATTTCGTCTATACAAGTCTTAAAATTGAATTTAGTTAGGTTGTAGTTTAGTTAGGTTATAATAAACGTTTATCATAAAGTTAGTAAGAAGCTTTAAACAAGTCAAACACAGAGAGTTAGAAATAAAAAATTAATAAATATTGGCAGCCAGTATCACCATCTCCTTCGCCTTCGCCTGTAAGTCAGATTCTGAACATCTATCTGTCATACTCTGCACTTTTCCACACCCCTATGCGACAAGCATCAGTTCTTTATTATTGTTCAATTCTTCAAGCATTGTTTTAGAAGGACTACGGCTAGGACTGATTGCATTTTTGATTCGGTGATTAGGCAATGTCCAAGTTCGTGCACAATTGAATATTGCATAAATCAATTCTGAAAAAAAAACAGTTCTGGAGAAAAGGTATTGCACTGTTTTAGCCAATAAAAAACAAACCTAACCATAACTCTCCAGGTTATATATACATAATAAATTTTGGTTGTCTGCTAATTTAACGTCCCGAATTATTTAGGCGATTCTAGACGACACGGCTGGGAAGCTAGAAGACATCAAGGATCCAAAAGCGTATAGCATCGAGGACGCAAAGCAAAAAGCTGAACAAGATCGACTGTTGAAATTAGCCGAAGAAAAGAAAACGGGACTGAAGAAGAAAATCCAGGAGATGAGACGGCAGTTCAAGAAACTCCTCCTGAAGAATGGCGAAATTGCACCTCATTTACAGCTGCACCGAAATGTGAGGATTCTTCTGATTTTTTTAAAAAGAGAAATTAAACATTTAGTTCAAGAATTTCAATTTTCATCTCATTGCATGATTATGTGCATCAAAGTTAAATAGTCGTAAAATCTTTTAAGTTAATATAAACTGTAAGGATGTAATTAATTTGTCCCTCGGAGTGATTTGCTTTTTGATCAGTATTTGAATTTCTGGATTCGATTTTTGCTCGCCTTCAATTCCTTTTTCTTATGTTGAAAAATTTTAAATCAATCGAATATGGCCAAATTAAAACAAGGATAGTCGGTTACTGTGCAAGTAGCACCGAATGTTCCGACCATCGTCTTTGAAAAAATACAATTTTTTTTTTCAAATCAGGGTAGTTTTTTCGGCGTGGTGTGATAAAATGATCTTAGTAAAAAACGAGAGCTTAGGCCTTTTCGACAGTTTAAGTAAAATAAGCATATTGGAAAAAGTTTTTGTCGAAAAATGACTAGAAAAACAAAAAAAATTCACAATTTATTCAATTTTTTTTGCAGTTTTTTTTTGAATTTTTGAAGTTTTTATTCCAAAAAAGCGCTTAAGTACTGAGAAAAAACTATCTTTCCTCGAGTAAAACTAAGTTATTACGGCTTGAATTCAGCTATTGTAAGCTTTTAAGCCATTATTATAAGCTATTGCAAGCTTATTTATTCGCTCGAATTAAGAAGAAAAATCAAAAATTTCAAACCGGTTTTTCTCGACACTGGGAAAAAAATTTTAGAATTTTTTTTATAGTAGTTCGAATCACGACTGAAATAACGACGGTCTTTTATATGATATATCACTCAACCTAGTGCGATGATTATTTGTGGTACCTGATTTTGCGTTGAAAACAAAAAAAGAACAGAACTAAAACACAGCCGAGTACGAAGCTCCTCTCCAAATTCAATGGTCGGAACAATAAATCAAGGCAAGGTTTCAAGAAATTGTTTTTGAGCTTTCTCCGATACTTTATAAGATCAAATTAATATAAATTAATTTTTCTTCAAACTTAGAGAAAAATTGGTCAAAACAAGGTCTTTATCGTGATTTGAGAGAGCTCGGAAAATCGATGTGGGCGGCTTAAGAAAAAGGTTTAAATCTAAATATTAATGTGGAGTGACTTAAGTTGCAGTACACTCTAATTTGGATTTGCATTTAGGAGTTTGAGCTGGACCCTCAGAGTAAGATCATGCTGTCGAATGAAACACTCGGGCGAACAGACATGGCGGTGACGGAGTATGCGTGGGACAGCGAGAAACAGTCCCTGGCTCTGGCCAAACTAGAAAAACAGTAAGTCTTCTTTGTTCTTCCTACTGGACAATTGGCACATGCGTCAATTAACAAGCGCACATAAAGTTCGTGGTACAAATTTTTAATTAGTTCAAGATTTTATCGAATTGAGTTTTTCTGGACTAATTTTAAATTATGGCGTATTATTTTCGAATATCCTAGTATTAGGCGATGTGATCCACTCATTAATAAATTTGTTCCAGGTTCAAGTCAAAACTCGACTTTGATTCGCTGATTGTTCAATGCATCGGCAGCGAGCAGGAGGTGTCTTCGTTCCGTACCGAGAAGTTACCGCCTGGGTTCAAGAGCCAGAAACTGGAGCTAATAGGCAAGGCGTCTAAGGGTGCGGGTCTTCTGGGCGCGGCTAGACAGTTGATCAGCCAGCAGAGAGCCGAAAACGAAGCAGGTAGTTGTTAACAACTTTCAATCTAGTTCTGTTAAATCAGACAGCGGTTATAATTACTAGAAAATTACTTAGTTGAGAAAGATTTGGTTTATCTCCAGAAGCTTCTATTATACTCGCCACCCACGTATTGAAGTTTCTTGAAGACTTTGTTTGTCAATAATAATGATAATAATAATTTATTTCCGTAAAAACAGTCGATCAAACAGATCTGGAAGTCGAAACGGTGCCGAAGACTAACACTCCGGTTGTCTTTGCATGTTCGGACAGGCGGGATGAAACAAGACCACATTCATTCACGCCTTCTTTCGAAACGCCAACCGACTACGGTATTGGAGTGATATAATGTGCTAGTGTGAGATCGAATTGTTGTCAGTGATGGATCTTCATGCTTTGCACCGTTTTTTCTTGAAGTGTTTTCTTATGCACTGTTTTCGTTGTTATTTGTAACGTAATCTTGGGAGTAAAAAACATGGAACGCACTACAAAAATACTTGCCAAATCATAGTTTTTTAAAACATTATTTAGACTAATTTTTAACATTCAATGATTTTTAACATTCAATGAACGTAGTGAAGACTCTTTTATAGGTCCTGTTGAGTTTTTGATGTTTGTTTTTTCAGGATATTTTTTTTAAGTTTAATTGATTTTTTTTCTTCTAATCAAGGCAGACACCACTATCAAGCGCCAAACCCTGGCCGTGTTTTACTTTCAAAAATGGACTTGAATTTTTCAGATTTCCCAGCATAAAAAGAAAAGTATTTTTTTTGTCTCCTTGCGTTTGGTACTCTTTTCCAACTGTCTGTTGGCTATGTTTACTGTTTCAATTTTTCCTTATTTTTTGTTATTTATTTATTTTTAGGGAACAATGGATTAACCTGTTTTTTTGCACCCAATTTCAATCAATTGAAAGAAAGCTTGAAGTGCTGTAATTTTTTTTGTATAAAAGCCCTAAAATACACAAAATTTACGAATGACACTCAATTCTTACTTTAATTCCTTTACAGTTTTTACTCTAATCTTTGCAGCTTTTAATTGAACTCAACTTTACTGAAAAACTTACAAAATTAAAGTTGACAATAAAGTGTAAAAATTCAAAACGTTTAAGTTAGTTTTGACTTTTTTGTTTTTGAGTGTCCTCATTTCAATCGTGTCCTCCATTTTTTAATTATTTGTATTGATCCGAAGCTTAATTTGTTTTTCATTGTCTGTAATTTTAGCCCAATCGCAGGGTGGTGGCCACGATGAAGATGGCTCTGCTGGTGTAGGGGGTGGAAGTGTGAACAGACCAGGGGGTACTGATCAGGACAAGAGTGGGGGCAGGGTGGACGAGAAGGCAGCCAAGGCACTTGGCAAGATGGAGAAACAAAGACAGAGGAGGCTAGCTAGACAGAAACAGGCCAGTTGTGAACAGTTTATAAGTACTTAATAGCAAGCAACATATTTCAAATTTTTAGTTCAAAAACTTGGTTTTTCTTTTTTTCTGTCTTCTATTTTCAAATAGTCTTTTTTTGTTTTTCTTTTTTCTTTACCCTTGCGATAAGCAAGGGTATTGCAATCGAGTACAAAATTTTTTTCCTCAAAATAACTTTGTTCACAGGACTCATCTCCTGGATTCATTAATCTGCTGGGCTTTTCTGCTGCAACACGCATGTTTTGAGCCGTTTCGCATTTTAAATATCCGACCTAATCGAAATTTGCTTTTTATGTTTGTTGTAATTTTAGCAACTCGATTTTTAAAAATTTATGTGTTTTTCTCAGGGGAAGAGGTTTCGGCCTGTTTTATATAACTTAGTGGTCTTTTTTGCAATGTTGGATGACTGAAAGTTTTTTTTTAATGTTTTTTCTGATGGGAAGAGGGACTCAGATTTTTTATTAGGTTAAATTTTTTAAAATTTTTTCGGCAAGACGAATTTGTGCCCAAGCATTTCGACTTTGTTACCGTTGGGTAATTTTAAATTCAGTCAATTATCCGGAGCATCTGGCGTAGAGGTATCAAAACTACTTGAAACGGCACAAGCTTCTGGTTCATTATGTTTTTGCAAACTAGAGATTTTGTGCTTTTTCGGACTATCGTCTGTCTGTTTGTTTTTGTCGGCTTAGTTCCGGTAGCCCGATTTTTTTTGAAAATTCAACTTTCTTCCAAGTTGCTGCAATACCGATGCTTGAGGCGATAAAGGCCAGGAGCTAGATTCTAGTGGACATCATTTTTTGCAAACTGAAAATTTTTGACTAGCTAAGATTATTATGTGTCTGCTTATTTTTGTCGGTTTAGTTCAACAGAAAGGACTTTTTTGAAAATTCGGCTTCTTTCTAGCATTCCGAGACCTCCTTGTAAAGTTTCTAATGGTGCAGCTAATTTTGTTTCGGATATTTTGGGCTTTCGTTGCAATTTTTAGTGACAAATACGACTTTTTGATGTTTTTTCTTCAGTTTTAATTTTTCTTTCTTTTGGATTTTAATCATAGTCATTCATTTTTATATCGCAAGTGCTGCAAAGCTCAGCTTCGCCTCTGTGTAAAAAATAAATTCATAAAAGTTTGGCGAAAGAATAATTTTTGTGCTTTTCAGTGGGAAGATCTGAATAAAGAGAAACCTTCTGATGATTTTGAAGATCCAAGAGACGTCGCTGAGATCAAGTATGCATTGGAGCATATTGGGGACTTCAAACTGAAAACGGCGGCAAACTACGTGGTACCAGAGCACCTACGTATGAATACAGCCAGGAAACTAGTCCAGCTGATGCTCCTCCAGGAAAAGGTCAGTTTGGGCCAAATTCACTTAATGATAAGTTTTTTGAAAACTTCATTCAAAAATCAGTCACAAACATCTATATTAAAAAGTCTGAAAAAAGTACCTAAAAACACTCGTAGATGTCTAGTTTGGTATCTACTGTGAGCTATTTACTATGCCATTGTTTTAGTTTTTCAAAATATGCGAGCAGTTAATTCCATGGTTTTGAAACATATGAAAGTTGGTGGATCTTATATTTTTTAATCAATGAATTAATGAATTTTCTTAATGAATTAAAGTTTTTCTAAAATGGTTTTTAATCAAACTTTTTAACTAGTTTTCCGAATTTGAAAAACATAGCGAAATGTTTTACATGAAACTCATTTGCTTAGATGTACAACAAAAAGCGAGCGTTTAATGAGCGCATGTTGTCTCTGAAGTTCAAGAAGTCGGATGTGCTGGATGAGATTGATCGGCTAAATGAGCAACTGCAGTCAATTCACACTGAATTAAAAGACATCGAGAGTACCAAAAGGGCACCCGAGAGGCCGACGTTGGCTGATGCCGAAAAACCAGAAGAGTTCGTTTTACTACTTTCTGAAACAAAAAAATGCTATAAACATCAAAATATGTTTTTTTTTCATGCTAGATTTTGTTACATTCTATTTTAGGAGGGAACTTAAAGATATTTTAAACAGTTTTTCTCGAATGTATTGTATGTTTTTCCTTGATTACACTTTGCTACCAGTATTTAACAACACATTTGATTTTAATTCAATAATGATGAAATTGTTCAGTGTGTTTTATGACATATATATCAGAAAGTTTGTTATCTCTGTGTAAGTTGGCGTTTTCTTTGGCTTTAGACTGTACCACTACACTCGGGAAAAGCTGATCAAATTCCAGCTGGAGAAGGCGGCTAAGGATCAGTCGATGGCCATGGCAGTAGCCAGCGCATTCACAGCACAGACCACTGAGACTGACCAGGTAACACATATGGTCAAGTCAACAGGTCATGCTCAGTAACTTCAATCGGAACATCACGAAATCTTTTCCCGTGAACTCGCAGAATGATAATATATTGTTTTCATGGTTTTTGACAAATGATTGTTTCATAAACGGCATTTACAATCATAGGCACATTAGCCTGATAGGTTCTCATGAGACCTGCTGGTCCGTTTTTGAACGTCTTTTTTTGTATTTCAGCTTCGATAAAAAGTTAATTAGATAATTTTAACTTCGAAATATTTTACTTGAAAAAATACTAGTAGATATCTATCTACATTAGGTTGAATGCTATCGATGTTTTTTTTCCATTTTGTCTTACTGTTATTTTCACATTTTTTGAGTTAAATGTTAGAGTTCGACTCTTTTAGCTGGCTGTATCGGGCGATAAAAAGAGCGCGAGGCCTGGGTTCAGTGGATTTAGCCCAAATCCAAGCGTGAATTTAGCGTCGGGTTCTATCCGATCCCCGTCCCCCGCCACTTCAGTATGTTTTCCCCTCCCTCATCTGAGAACGCGTGGATGATTGAGTCTTATCGTTTTCGCATTTCTCTTTCCTCGATTACATTTGCACATATAATTGTGGGTGTGGTTTTAAGTTTGCTCTGAAAGAAGTCCGCAATCTTTGTCTGATGAAATTTCTTGTTTTTCCACAGCAAATGTTCAACTGCGCTTGAGGAGTTTCCTCTTGCAATATCAAAATGTGTCGTTTGATAAAAGTGATTACTAGTTGTGTTTTCAAATTGAAGAATGTTCTTAAGTTGCTCTTTTCAAAATGATGGTAATATTTTATGTCAATCTCAAATGTTCTCAACTTTTATTGATCATATTGAAAAACTATCTAACCTCCAGCTTGAGTTCCTTATATTAGAACGTTGTATCATTAAAAGCATATTGGAGTTGATTTATGGATTATGTCGAAATTTTAACGTTTTCAGTTTTTCTTGACGGGCTGTGCTTAAAAATTTCAGCTAAATGCATGATCGTCTGAATTTGTGGATTTCTTCAACAAAAAATATTGTGAAGTTCTGAAAAGCGAAATTAGCAACAATTGAAATGTTTATCTAGATGATGGAGAGCAATCTGACTAAACCCTCTTCGGCTAATACGAATCAAATGGGGGACGGGACTGGGTACAAGAGGCCAACTGTCGCACCCGATACCTCTTCAGTGCCACGGCTACTACTTGGAGACGAGCTGCTGGAAGGAGAAAACGAAGAGGAGCAGTCGCAGGGGTCTATGGAGAGAGAGGAGAGTTTCACTTCAATTCGACAGACCAGGTATGTTGTTGGACTAGAGCTGAGTTGGATCAAAACAACCGTTCAATTTGAGCTTTATTTGCACTAAAATGAATGTAGATTCAAATTAACGTTCAATTAAATTAAATTTAATTGAAACGATTAAGCGATTTACAAACGTATCATACAAAGGTCAATTATAGTTGTTTATCCAACGTTCTTCAGATTTTTTTAAGTATGGGTAAATCAAAACCCATACTATCTATTATTGACTTTTCGACCAGTTGTCTATACAATTTACATGTTGCATCAGTTGTTTTCAGGATTGGGTTCCGTAAAAAGGCATCGTAAGTGTTTGTTCTGTTCATCTAATATTGATATCAACTGTTATTTTGTTGTTGTTGATATTTTGTCTGCTCCTGCTCTGAATTGATTTGGTTCTATACCTGTGAGCTGATGTTCTTGAAGTATGAAAGTTTCAATGTCGAATGAAGCCTAGCTATTTATTTAATTGTTGTGCTTATTGAGTCTATGCGACTGTAAATATATCATTTCTGGCATTCGTGTTTATATCTATGTGCTGTTCTAGATATTGATTTAACTCTGATTTATAAATTTTTTAAACCCTTTTCAGACTGCTGAACGAGCAGGACAGAATTCTGTCTCGCATTGAAAAACTGACGCGCCATTTTGACGATCAAGTGATGTCACTGAGGGCGGAGAAGTTCAATCTTCAGGTGGATCTGAAGAGAGCTGACCTGAGGAACACCACTCTGTTCGAAGAGTTCGTTCAGCTGAAGGAGTTTGAGAAGCGTGAAAACAATCTGGCCGCTAAAGTGGACGCCAAATACGACGAGAAAGTGGACATCGAACAGAAGGTTTAACATATATGTATAAATAACTGAATGTATTACAATTTTTTTTTAAAATATTCCACGAAAAATTTAGCATAAAACGACCTAATGGCAATTTAGAAACATCTACATATATGTTTTTGATAGTATTCTGCCCTTTTCTTGAAGTTTTTTGAAATTTATTTCAGTCGCCGTTTTCTGAAACGCACCACATAAAACAAAAGCTTAGGTTGTCTTAAAAAGCTTCTTTTGAACGTGTTATCCTCCAATTAATAGCTTGACTGATATTCAGAATGCCCTTATCTAAACCATTGTTTACGCGCTTTCCGGATGTCCAACACCACTACAATGGGAAAACAGACAATAAACGAATTAGTAGTACTAGTAGTAGTGTTAAAAGCTTCTTTTGTAGGTCCTCGATAGCAAGACTAAAGTGGAGACTAAACGACTGGAAATTGAACGATTGGAGGAGCGACAGAAGAATCTTTTAGAAGAATTCAAAGCAGGGCTGGGCGAGAACAACAAGTGGGAAGAGTTCCTTACAAAAGTGTTCAAGAAAAAAATCAAGCGAGCCAAGAAGAAGGAGCAAACAGGTGACGGTGAGTTGAATGCTACAATGATGGCTGCAAATTACCTTGAATTATCATCGGAATGGTTCGAGTGATATATCGTTTTAAAGCACCATCAATCTCGATTCAAACGAAATTTAAAAATTTTGAAAAAAATTTCATTCTTGAAAGTAACTCAATTGAAATTTTCAATTTTGCGTCTAATTTTGCGCAATTAAAGCAAGCGAACAGGCTTATTTTAAAGGGATAAGCCATGAAATTTTAGTAATTTTATTTTTGAAGTCTTTTAGCGCCATTTTTGAAGAAAAAAAAATTTTTTTATTGTCAAAACAATTTCTGGAAAAGAAAATTGAAATTTTTTTTTTATTTTGTTTTTGAGACTTTGGTAGTCATATTTTGTCAAAAACTTTCGCCCATTTACTGTGATTGTCTTTTACATGAAAAAAAACTCTTTATGTATTTTTAAAGAAAATTCGCAACATTCTGTGCTGCTTGCTATCATTGTTACAATTGTAACTTACTAGCAGAGCGATGAGCTCGCTTCACTTGCAAACTTTTCAGTTCAAACTTTTTTATTCGGTAAATTCTTGAAATTCCTTTCTTGACATAAAACAGTTTTTTAATTAGGTTTGTAGTCTTTTTTAGTTTTGTTGACTTTTGAGCTTTGACTTCAGTCCCAGCGAATACTAAGTTGTTAAAAGAATTTCGTCATTGGTGTTGGGCTTCAAAATTCAAAAATCAGCTAAATTTGAATAATATTTCTTAATAATTAGGTGCTTGTGATGTTCTAATTGCTTTTTGGAAACAGATTTCGGGTAAGCATTTAAATTACTGCATTGCGTTTTTGCTCTCTCCGGGCCCGCGTTTTGACTTAAAAAATGTGCATTCCTAACAATTTATTGCTAGTAGAGTTTCCACTGTTGAATTCTACGACCACTGAAATACACTTTTTCCACAGTTATTCACAATATTTGCTACAAACAATTACACACTGGCACAAAAAAAAGACTTAAATTTTTAGAAAATTTAGAGTGTTTTGTCTAGGATATTTATCGTCAAGAAATGCTGTTTGCATATACTGAATAATTATTGCCTTTTTTATTATTCATTGTACAGAAAAATTATAGTGAATGTTCGTTATGTGAAAGATCATTATTATTCCGACTTTTGTAACGAAACTAACGGAATATTTGTGCTCGGGTGGGTTTTTTTTTCTTCAGACAAATTTCGACTTTTTAACTAGCCATTTGTGACGGAATCTTTTTATATCATTCAAATGACATTATTGCCCTGAAAATTATTGCCCTGAGCTTAAATTTGAAAAAATATTTGACTTGTGATCATTTTTTGTAAAGTAATGGGGGTTTAAAGGTTGCCATTTTAGCCAATTTTGGACAACTAAGGCGCGATTTATTTCGCACCATTAACGCGAAAGTGGAGGTTTAATCCGTCTTAGAACTCGTTCCAAATTGGTTGAAGGAAGCTTATTTGCCATAAATGGTTCGTTATTAGGAGCAAAATCTATAACTGTGTATTTAATATGGCGTGTGGGGGGATGATTTTCAAAAAAAAATCTCAAATTATATATATATATTTTTTTCATTTTATCTTATTACATTCAATTTTTTCATGTTATTTTTGCTCCATAGACCTTTAAAGGCAATCGGAATATTCAGGGCTTCGCCCTGATACGAGCAGTCTTGTCTAATGTAGAGTTGAATTATGGAAAACAATGTGTTTCAATGATGATTGAGTGCTGTAGTTTAATTGATTTTCTCTAATATTACTCAGAGTTTTGTCTGTGAAATTCTTCAGAGGAAAGCATAGCATATTCATAAAATAGAAATTTTCCGTGTCAAAAAATTAACACAAGACTTTTTTTACAGCTTTCATACACGATGAGTTCGAGTTTGAATATTTGCTTGCCTTTGGTCTGAAATTTGTGACGTGAATCTATAAGCTTAGTTTTTCGAACATTCTTGTAATAGTTGGCTTTTTAACATAAAAATAAAAATTTTCCAAAAAGGATGTTTTTGCTGCGACCACTCTCAAATAGTGGAAAGGAACTATGGGCTTATCGTTCTTTGCTATTTACACCTATTTTAGACACAAAAATAGGTACGAAAATATAACACAAAAAAAAAGAAGAAAAAAATTGTAAAAGATGAAAACCAGACTTTTTTTCAAATTTGATTTTTTAAAATAACTTACTATGATCGGGACAATCTTACTTTGATCGGGACATCCTTCATAAAATCGCACCATATTATCAAGTTTTTTTTGATATGAAGCAGTACGTATAATTTTCACGCCATTTCAGTTGTTTTTATTCAGAAATTTTTGAGCTGTCTAATTAACGTTTTGACCGGACAGCACTTTAATGAAACAAACATTTTTCATGTAAGCAACAAAGTAGAAGAACAGTTAAGTAATGTATATATGCAAGCCGGTGAATAGATCGCGCAGCACCCAGATAATCACTTCTCTATATCAAATATGGTAAACTCTCTGTTTTTCATACTAGGCCTAATTAATGGCTTAAAAGGCCAACCACAGTGTACACACGTTGTAAAATTATGGGGGTTTAAAGGTTGCCAATTTGGGACAATTAACGCGCGATATATTTCGGGCTATGAACACGTGAGCGAAATTTAAACCGTCTTAGAAATCGTTCCAAATTTTTCAAGGAAGCTTTTATGCCATAATTGATTTGTAAATAGGAGCAAACTCTATCTTTTTGTATTTAATATGGCGTGTGGGGTGTTGTTTTCTCAAAAAAATCAAATGAAAAAAAATTCGTTTTAGTTTATTACATTAATTTTTTCATGGTTTTACTGCTCGATAGAGCTTGAAAGGCAGTCGGAACATTCAGGGTTTTGCCCTGATACGAGCAGTCTTGTTTTTTTTTTAAATTCCAGAGTACCGAATGTGAGAAAACCAACCTACAAAAAACACTGTTTTCATTGGTACAGCGTTTTTGAATCACTGAACCAGATAGCTGGATTGCAAGATTGAGTAGATTGCTCGAAGAGAATCCATACTGCAGTGACAAACAATCGCAGCTACAGTGATTTTTTTTCACCAATTTTATATTCTGATAGAGATTCCCATCTTTAAATAGCTGTCCGGTTTTGAAGTTAACATGCAGCGTTGTGATACGATCATTTGTTGTTGTTCCGGCTTTCGTAACTAAAGTAGCGGAATGTTTGTGGTTTTTCTTTTCTTCAGACAAATTTCGAATTTTCAACTAGCCATTTTTGACGGAATTTTTTTTTACATCATTCGAAAGCTATTGTTGTTCTAGGCTTAAAGTTGAAAAGATACTTCACCTGTGATCTTTTTTGTAAAGCTATGAGGGTTTAAAAATTGCTTTTTTGGCCAATTTGGGACAAATAACGCGCGATATATTTCGCGCTATTAACGCGTAAGCGAAATTTAAACCGTCTTAGAAATCGTTCCAAATTTTTCAAGGAAGCTTTTATGCCATAACTGATTTGTAAATAGGAGCAAAATCTATCACTTTGTATTTAATATGGCGTGTGGGGTGTTGTTTTCTCAAAAAAATCAAACGAAAAAAAATTCGTTTTAGTTTATTACATTTAATTTTTTCACGTTTTTACTGATCCATAGAGCTTAAAAAGCAGTCGGAACATTCAGGGTTTTGCACTGATACGAGCAGTCTTTTTTGAAATTCCAGAGTACCGAATGTGAGAAAACCAACCTATAAAAAACACTGTTATCATTGTTACAGCGTTTTTTTATCACTGAACCAGATAGCTGGATTGCAAGATTGACAAGATTGCTCGAAGAGAATCCATACTCCAGTGACAAACAATCGCAGTTACATTGATTTTTTTCACCAATTTCATATACTGATAGAGATTTCCATCTTTAAATAGCTGGCCGGTTTTGAAGTTAACTTGCAGCGTTGTGATACGATCATTTGTTGTTCCGGCTTTAGTAACGAAAGTAGCGGAATGTTTGTGGGTTTTTTTCTTCAGACAAATTTCGAATTTTAACTAGCCATTTTTGACGGATTTTTTTTATATCATTCAAAAGGTATGGTTTTCCTGAGCCTAAATTTGAAAAGATATTTTACCTGTGATCATTTTTCATTAAGTTATGGGGGTTTAAAGATTGCCATTTTGGACAATTAACGCGCGATATTATTCGCGCTATTAACGCGTAAGCGGAGATTTAATCCGTCTTAGAAATCGTTCCAAATTAGTTGAAAGAAGCCTTGTTGTCATAATTGATTTGTAAAAAGAAGCAAGTACTATCTTTTTGTACTTTATATGGCATGGGGGGGATGATTTTCACAAAAAAAAAATCTTTTTTTTTTCCAAAAAATTTTTTTTTCATTTTATTTTATTACAATTAATTTTTCATGTTATTACTGCTCTATAGACCTTAAAAGGCAGTCGGAACATTCAGGGCTTCGCCCTGATACGAGCAATCTTGTTCGTTTAAAAGTTTGCTTCGGCTGAAATAATTTTCACGTAAATTTTATTGGTTTAGTCGCCTCATATTGCGTCATTTAAAAAGAGGCAATAGGTTGTTTTGCGTGAGTGTGCTTCAAAAGGGGATTTTGTAACTTCGAGTTTCAAAGTTTTTTGAATTTTTGACAACACATTTTTGATTTAAACTAAACGGTCATATACTCAAGGAGTCGGCTTAGTTTCCCTTTGGTAACCTTTGCCTGCTCGTTTACCGCTGGAATCTGTGTTCTAATTTTTAAACTTTTTTTTTCAAATTGTTTCCCTATAATGGCTTTGCCCTCATTTTCTGTCGGCTAGCTTACAATTCTGAAATTGTTTTTTTTTTGTAAAGTTCGAAAGTTGCATAAAGCAGTCATTTTTGTTTTCGGTAGCTCATTTATATTTGCCAACTGTCTGTTGACAGTGAAGACTCCTTAAGGAGGTCTGAATCAGCATCTTGAATTAGGTTTGTGTGTTTAGTAAAAAAAATTCGATTTTTTTTCTTCCAACTTTTTTGGTTTCGGAACGCGAAAAGATCTGTTTATGTATTCGCTGCTATGACTATATAATTATTTAACCGAATTTTTAATTCGAAGCAAAGCTGTCGAATTATTTTTGTCAAAGAAGTTATTGTCTTGAGTTTTTGTCAATTCATAAAAGCAACTCATTATTGTGGAAAGCAAGCAATAAATTGAACCATACTAATTTCTTGATTTGTTTTCAAATATAAAAGGTGGGGCTCGAAGAGACGGTTGGTCTCGCAACACTTGTCGCAGTTTCGTCTCCGTAGGATCAGAGTTCCAATTTGTTCCTCAAAGGAGTGAGATATATGTCGCTTTTGTAAACGGTAGCTAAATGTCTAGTGGCATAATAAATGCTTAAAACTTTTCGTTAAATAACATTTAACTTATCCATCAATGTGTTGTGTATCTTTTCTCAATATATTAGAATTTAAAATACATTTTTGGGCCAAGTTGAAAGACTACTTCCCAACTTTTGGTTTGTAGTTTTGAATCAACGTATTGGAATCCATCAAATTGCAAACAGATCTTGTGCTGATATCTTGTAAAGTCTAAGAAGAGAAAGTTGCCTTCCGATTTTTACTGTTTATCAATAATCTTCTCCGCATTATGTACAAAATGGTTCGCTTGTAATACTTTCGATCGTACTATAGTAGATAAAGTATCACCTGTTCTGAACTCTGATAACCCACCGCATAAATTTGTTCACAGACGACGAGGAAGAAGAGGATGACGAGAGTGACTCAGACGAGAGCGATTCGGAGGACGACGACTTCGATGACGAAGATGACGAGGGCCGAGTGGTGTTGGACGACAGCATCTGTCCTCCAGGTTGCGAACAAGAATTGTACGACATGGCGTGCAATCTCAGGGAGACTAGGTAAGGAGATTAGATCAAAAACCAAATCATCTAATACGAAGCTAAACGTAACGTTTTATGTTCTTAATAATGTTAAAATATTTATCTGATTTTAAGTTTTGATTTAAAGAATCCTAAATGTGAATGATTTGTTTTTTTAATACTTGACGATTTAAAATCAACCGTATGATGATGAGCGAGGAGTTTTCTCGGCTGCACGTTTGATACATTCGAATTGGACTAAGTCCTACCTCTAAATGTATTCAAAACGATCGTTACAATGGTTTTGTCTTTCCTTCGTTCGTTGCTCATTTCATCTGAAATCATCGAGAATCGTTCATCATTCGCCTATCTTGTTGCTGAATTTCCCTTGGTGACTTTTATCAATTTTTCGTCACTGTTTTAAATTAAGCTTGGGTTTATGTTTGTTATTTTTCTAGACTTGACCTTGAGGAACAGCTGGCTGAGGAGAAGAAGACTTTTGACATGATGAAGAAGGATGCAGATTCGATGACCAAGAAGGTCAAGCAAGTCGACAATGCCCTCTCGGCCGCCGAGAAAGATCTCGAGGATTTTCAGGTGCTGTATCCTTTCACTTTTGAATTCTTAATTTTCTAGTAGCCATATAAACTATAGCCTAGCCATTTGCTGATTAAAATGGATTCGCAATTGTGTCGAAGTAAATGTTTTAGTTGCTTTATTTTCATCCGGTTGTCAAGGTTCTAAAAGGTTTTTATCTGCAAAAAAATTAAGAATTCTGTTTGCTGTGTATTCAGACTATTGGTTTTTCAGCTGAACTTCCCGCGAGTTAATTTTGTTCTATAATTTTAAATTATTGTGATTTCATCTAAGAGCTATGAACACAGATCGCTATAGGCCTCAAACCATCAACATTCTGCTTGAGAGACGATTGAGCTAAGTGTCGCCCTCAAATGCTGAGATGACTTTAATCGTGTGCTTCATTAGGTTGAGAAGCAGGGTAAGTTGAACCAGCTGCAGATGATTGTGGTATTGAAGTTACACCAAATTGAGTTCCTGGTCCAGGGAGGAGTGTTGCCTAATGACCTCTCGGAGGCACTGGTATTCGAGAGGAACGGATTGCTGCGTCTACAGACCAGGATCCACGAACTACACGACGAGAAACAGCAACAGAACCGCAAACAGAAGTAAGTCAATAAAACGAGAATGCTGCATAGGAAGCCAAAAATAGAATAGTCCAAATAAAGTGAAAATCTTCGAAAAGACACTTTTGAACGAGAAACGAGAAATGAAAACTAAAGGAAAATCCGAGAACGAAATAAGTCGTTAAATAGAAATTTGTTCAAAATCTATTAGCGTAGAAAATTACCGTGAATCTAAACTCTAATTCAAAATCTTAATTTCATTTTAATAGCTTAATATTGTATTTTATGTAATTTCTGTTTTTTTTCTCTATGCCGAATGGATTTGCTTTCAGAGAGAACAAATTGCAGAACGTTCAATTGAAAAAGGGCCGGAAAATGCTGAGTTCCAAAATACAAGAACTCGCTTCCGAGTGTGACCAGATGATGCTGCTTAAGTTTGGCCGAACTGTGGATCTACAGCGCCTTGAGATGGTAACTGTGAACCGACTGTTGGAAGAATTGAAGGAAAAGTACCGGCAAACTGAACTGTTTTGTGACCGGGAAATCCAGCAGTGGGATGGTACTATCCAGCAGCAGAAGGAGAACATCACCATGTTGACCAGAGATAACACCAGAAGAATCAACCAGATGACTATGTTGCTGGAGGAGCAGAAGGTCATAGAGGACACTCTGAATGCTAAACAGAAGAAACTGGTACGTGCTGTCATTTTTATAAATTAGCGACATGTTCTGAACCCCTATTTTTAGGAGTTCGGTTATTTATTAGTTAAGGTCCTTAAAAAATTTAGATAGCTGAAATTTAATAATAGGTCCTTTTAATAATTAATGATAAATTTCTCTTTTAAACTGTTTTACTCTTATTCCAGTTTTTAAACTTACTTTTGCAAGGGACTCAACTATCATACTACCCTGTTTTCTCCTGATGAAACCTTCTGTTCTTTTTTTAGTGAACGCAACGTTTCATTATTGTACCATAGCAGCAAGTTTCTCAAGTTATCAGAAGATTTACCATGGGAGAATTGGCTGTCCTTCAGCTGTAATTTAGCGACCTTTTTGACACCCAAATTATTACATTAAAATGTCTGATTTACTTATAAAAGATGTTTGCAGCTTTTGATAGATCAAAGATCAACTTTAGAGACTGGTGCAAAATCAAAATTTGAACTGACTTTAGATTTTTTTTTGCTGAAATATGCTGAAAAATTTAACTTTATGTAGGGCGGAGAGTATGAAGGGAAGAGAAAAGCCGATGTGCGGGAGAGAGAAAGGCTGATCCAACTAGTTCAGCTGCAGAGCCAGGAGATAGAGGCACTGAAGGAGGAGATCACCCTCTTGTCCCGAAAGGGGGGACACATTCTACCACCCGCACAACCTCCCATGCCCGTCAACCAAACCTAACTTTCTCAAACCCCCTGTCCATTCACCTTTCGGCCGCCCATCATGAATGCTGCGCGTTTGTCGTGGCAAGGAGAAAACATCGATGATGGAAAGACTTGTTTGAAATAAAAGATGTAATCATTTCAAATTTAAACTTCTGCTTGTATATTGTATTTGTAAATATGTGCTAAAATAATGAAAATGATGCGTAAAATAAATAATCACGCACATGTGTATATATAAAAGCAAGCTTCATTTGAATTTAGTTTTCTAAAAAAAATTGTTTTCTTTTTGCTTTCTGTTCTCCACACAATTTTCCAAAAGTGGCCAAAATCCACCTGTCATTTTCATCAATTATTCAAGCAAATATCCACAGATTGATGCAGGAAAATTCATTCGTACACTTTAATTTTTATAGAAACATCAGTTGTCTTTAAGTGAAACAGATACATCTTTGATTTATCATGAGAAAAGTGTTGCCGATTGTTATCATGGTACTTTGCATTTACTTGGATGCATCTGAGGCCAAGTTGAACAGATATGGATGTCAGGTAAGAGATAAGTTCGATGTTTGCAAAAGAAACTAACTCCTGACTTGATCTTTAATAAAATTAAGCACTCCCATAGTCGCAGGCTAGTTGGGGATTTCAAATGTTTTTTAGAATGTTACAGAAACGTTTTTTTTGTTCGCAATAGAAAATAATATTCGACAGGCATACCATACCGGGTGTTATCAAATTGCACGAAGATTTTGTACTTCAATGCAGACTGCAGCCTTGAAAATATCGAAAATGATCTTTACGAGATGTAAATTTTTTTTTTCAAATTTTGACTTTGGAAACAAATATTTTCTAACGCATCAAAACTTCAAATTATTTTGTTTGCCTATTTTTTCTGTCCTGGTGTGATTTAGGCGTGTTTGAAGCGATGTCAAACAAAGTATTGCCAAATGGGAATTTCAGAAGATAAGTGACCTGTGTTTTTTTCGGGTTATGTTGTTTTGTTACATTTTTTATCACAGTAGTTTTGTTGTTTTGTGTCTCAGGGTGAAAATTCAAAATTTTATCCGTATCTCAATATTTACATTACAGCCACCAAGTTTTCGGTAGATTTGGTTTGTTCGGTTGACATTCATTTGAGTCATATGTTATTCTGTAAGAATTTGGTCTTCTATCAGCACAGGTAGTACAATTGGATGTGAGCCCAAGTGTGTGTAGTCATCGGTACACAAAGAACATCGTATTTTTAGAAGATTTTAATTATTTACAAAGCAAGTTAAAACTGACTAAAATTCTTTTTAGAAAAATTGAGAGAAATTTCAGCTACTGATTGGATTGTAAAGATAAAAAAAATAGCGAGCTGCTTTTCAGGTAGAAAAAAAAACATTTTGACCCTACTGGTTTGAGAAAAAAAAACCAAAACAATGGGAAAGACTGGAAAACCGAAACAATTTTTTGAATATGAGCAAACTTTGATCCATTTATTTGCCTTAATTTTTTGTTATTTTTTGTAATAAATGAATAAATGGTCTGTATGCATAAGTTGATAATAACATGATAATAGAACAAAAATTGGAGGTCAGCCTCGAGATAACTTCTTTCTGATTTTCGAATCACAGCTGAAATTTTTCATAATCGCCCTGAAAAAAAATCTATCCTACTCTATAATTTTCTCACTTTTCGTGAAGTGGTCGAAACAGTTTGAGTTATGACTTTTACACACTACAAAAAAGTTTGCTATACAAAAAACTTACACGCTACGCAATTTGCATTTGCAGTTATTCCACATATTTACAGTTGCGATTGGAGTCAAATAGTACGACAATTATGTTTTCCCACCTAAATTGCAAACCTTGGTGCTTTTAATGAGGTCCTTTTTTGGTTTTTTGATAGCGTGTGTTTTCGCATTCGATTAGTAGTAAGCTAAAACAGTTAAGGCATTTTAATTAATTCTTTAAATGCTTTACACAGTTAAAGCATTTTAAGGTATTAACTTTTCAAATGAACCGAAAAAAAACTATTTGTTTTAAGCCTCATTACGATATTAAAAAACTCGAGTTCTGACATTTTCAAAATTAATTATCTCGCAATTTTTTAAATATGCATAATTTATACATAAATTGGCTTTATGCTTTCCAATTTAATACATATAAAGTTAAGTGGACTCTTTTAGTTTAATATATTCCTAACTATTACAAGAAACTAAAAACTACTCGTATTTAGTGCCACTTTCGCTTCATGGCTTTGGCAATTTATTAGAATATGTAGGTGGTTTAGTTGTGTCTAGCGTAAATAAATTTACAAGGGACCACGGCGCTGATGCGGGGACAGCTGAACTTAAATCTCTTGGTCGTAGAATGGAATGCACCACTGCAAAAGTTTAATTTTCAATGCTTATTTTCAGGCCTTTCTTTTCATTTTTTATTTCAATTGATAGAGCTGATTTTTTTTTTCGTTTTCTTGTTAGTGTTTGCAAAACTCAGCATCGTCTTTGTTTCTAATATTACCCCAACAATTCACTTTTTAATTTTTGTAACCACTTTAAAATTAATCCAAAGCTATGTCTTTCTGTTCAGCGATTTCAAAACTTTGAAAGAACAATGTCATATGGCCACTTTTCTATGTTTTTACGAACCGAAAGAGTACTCATAGGTAGTCCAGTGTTGTTTTGTATTTAATCTCAACCTTAATTTTGCTTTTTGAATTCTGGAGAAAAGTAAAAAAAAAAAGGTATGATATTTTTTAGGTTCTCTCCTCACACCGGGCATAAAATTAGGCCTAAATTTTAAAATGGAACTTTTATTTTGAGCATTTTTTATTCAATTGGCTGTGTCGGAGTATTTTTGGAATCTTTTTGAAATAGCAGTGGAAAGAATAACGTAAAAAATGGCCCCTGTTCCTCTCATCAATTGATATTATGAAAGATGTTTTGATCATATCATTTTTCAAAAAATATATATATTTTTTTTATTTCCTTGAATTCCCTGGCACTTTTCTGTTGTCTGTTGTGATCTTTTCAATTGTCTTTTCTGCTCAGGAAAACACTTACTTATGTGACACCGGCAACAACGAGCTCTGCAACGCCAACTCGGGTAAGTGTGAATGTGACGAGGGCTACTTCGCAGTAGACGATGTCTGTGCTCCAAACGGGCGAACGGGCGATTTGTGTCGAGAAGGAACTATCGGCAGCAATGGACGGTGCATGTGCTACTATGGCTATACACGACTCACAGACAACACGTGCGGATTATGCACGGTATAATAATTTAACAAAATTGTGAAAAGAAAAGATTTTGCTAGCTGGATTTTTTCCTTTTGGATTTTAAGAATCAATTCTTTATTATGGTTGAAAACTGAGTAAAATTTTCAAGAGCTTAGAGTTGAAAGCATGATAAATTACATAGTTGTTGATAAAAAATCTAATTGTTTCTTTAAGTTATAATCGAATAGTGTATTTCAATCCGTGTTTTAATCTTCAGAGCAGTTCTCAGTGCAACACTGAGCGAGGAGTGGTTAAAGGGTTAGGCACTTGTATCAGCGACGGATACGACTCCAAGTGCTTCAAGCAGTGTCGCTGGAACAGTCAGTGCACCTTGTCTGGTCAGAAGTGCCTGGAACACCAGGGACACTACGTCTGCAAGTGTCCCGAGGGACTGTTCAAACATCCCGACGGATCCTGCAACAGCGATCCGACTGTACTTGGTGATGCAGAGTCCTTCGCTGGACCTCAATTGGCCATGCTTCTTGGCATTTGTAGTGTAGTGAAACTTATTCTGTAGTGTGTTTTAAAGACTATCAAAGATCATAGATAAAAGAGTTTGACATGACAAAATTAAAGACGTGCTAGTTGAAATGCGAAGGATTTAAATTTAAATCAAATTTTGTCTGAACCGTGTTTGATAGATCCATCCGCTCATGCTAAATATTAATCTTGCAAGCTGCAGTTGCACTATCGCGAAATAAAAAAGTCTTTGCTTGGACTTGAAAAAGTTTCAAATGAAGCGTGGTAGAAATTTTAGGTTTTAAAAATGTTTTTAAAAGTTTGACACGCCATTTATTTTGAATGTAACTGCTGATTGAAGGCAACTAATTAGTCTCAGAACGGTTTTTAAATTGAGCAATCATTTTCTTAAAAACATTTAAAGGGTAATGAAATTTAAGAGCAGTTTTTGTGACTGAACTTTTTTGTGAAAGAAAAGTCACATTTGCGACAAATAAGGGGGAATGGTTGAAGACGCACCCGCCCTTTAAACTACTATCACCAGCCGCAACAACTAAATTACCCAAATCTTCCATAGCTTGAAAGTTTATTTCCCTTGACTAAAATGGTTTAATAAATTAACAAATGTTATTTATTATTAACTCAAACCATTATTTTTGATGCGTGAAACATATTCATTGATGCAATTGGTGTAATTCATGTAAATAATTAATTGAATCATTTATTTTGGGTCGATTTTTTGAACCAAGATTTGATCAGCTTTAGTCTCAGTTTATGCAACTTTTTCTCTGGCTGGTCATGAGACGTTGCCGTCTTTGTATCTCCATTTGTCTGATTTAGTTCATCTGCCAATTGACCATTCGTAATATCGGACGGTTCATTGTGATGTTCCAAATCGAAGTGAAGTTTCTCTTCGAACTCTTTCTCGTATTGTTTTATAGAATTCTCTAGAATTTTAAACATGTCTAGCGGATTCGTATCTGCATCACTCGAACAAACTCCGAGACCGCTGTCGTTATCCGTTTCGGCACCTGATAATGCTGGTCGCCACGGAACCGAACCCCCACATTCACCGTTCACATCAATGCGAACGCGTTTTGGTTTTGGTCGTTTAAATCGAGATGGCAACGACATGGTCGACGGAGTTTCGTTGTCGGAAATTGGACTCAAATCTTGTCGGAATTTAAGCGGAGTTTGAAGAAGCGATGACGCAGGCAAGCTTGCACCAAGGAAATTAGCACCTTGAGTTGTTGATTTACTCGGAGAATCGTAATCTGATTCTTCGATACTAGCCGAATCCAAATTCTTTTTCAAAAATAATGGAGATTCAACGTATGATAAATGGGAGGGAAAAGGAATGCTCCATTTTTTGTGATTGGGAGAGCTGTTACGATGACAGTTTAAACTCAAATGACCTTTTAGGCCACAAAGCCGACACCTTGTAATCTTTGAGTCATTCGATTCAACGCTTATGTCTTTCTGAATACTGAAGCAGCCGGAAGAGTTTCGGTCTGCTGAACCTCGACTACTGAAGCTTCTTCGGAACATCTTTTTGGACTCCTCGCTATCCGAGAAATAGTTGGACGGTTCTCGGCAACTCAAGTCATTGAATCTTGAAATCTTATCGCATTTTAAAATTGTATGTCCTTTCAAACCGCAGTTGAGACATTTCAAGTTTTTGCTCGCGTTTTTGTTAGTTTCGAGATCTTGATGGGTTTCGGTTTGTTGATTCTTATTCTGAAGTCGTCTCTCCGTGAAACCTGTGGGTGTTGCGATGTGCCCAATTCTTCTAGAAAGTTCCGATGCCCTAATCGATCCAAGAGTTCGGTAATTGGACCATAATGGACTCCTTTCTCTGGCGTAAAAGTAACGAGGAGTATTGTTTTTGTCTTCATAACACGAATTCAAGTCTACACTCATGTTTAACTTCGTTAGATCGATGTTTTTCAGAAAGGTATAATTAATAACTATTTGAATTTTTGTGTATTATAATTTGTGATTCCGAGCCGCCTTTTGTTTTGGGAGATGAACGAACTTCAGCTTAACATGGTTCAAGTATAAGAGACGAGAAATAATCAAAATGAGCTTGAGCCATTGACTTTAATGATAAACTTGACGCTCTTCAATCTCTAATGCGAATATGTTTCTGAAACATAAACAATTTTTACACCAGCCAAAAAAAAACAACTAAAGAAAAAAATTCATGAAGTTCTTAACCAGGGATACAACAGAGGTTCTCCGAAAAGTGCTGAAGGGAAACAGGCCTATTAGCATGTGTGTCGATTGGCATGCCCATGTAGAAGCATATAGTTTGAAGACTCGCTATTTCAAATTGTGTTTAATCAAATTTGTAATTATTATCAGCGTACGCTTTGCCGAATTTTTATTAAGCGAAAGTGAAACTTTTGTTTCCTTAACAAATCAAATGGTTTTCGAAATTATTTGAAATTGTAGACGAATTTGCTTTTCATCTGAATGCACACTCAGCTAAAAACAAATATCGCATGCTAATAGGCACACATGCTAATCGGTACACTTCCGTGCTTAAGAGCTCATATTTTGGTCAGCTCTGTTCCGTTTTAAAAATCTGACGTTAAAGTGAGCTTCAGAAATGAGTGTATTTGTCCACGTCGCAAAAATTTCTGATCTATTCTTTGTCGGCAGGGGCAATCACTATTCTAGTCTTCTTCGAATTAAATTAAGAATTCTCGATTGTGTTACTTGAAAAATGACTGGATATGAAAACATTTGATAGAGCTCTTTATCATACCCCATGCACAGCAGTATCACTCTACTTCAGATATGGGTAAAAAATTGAATATTGAATTAAGAAATTGAAACTGGAGCAAGTTATTTCAAAGACTGGTGGTAACAGACTTTTTGACACTGCTACTCCAACGGAATCAATGCGAACACGCCAGTCTGTTGGCAAGCAAGAAGCCGCCTATATTGACTTGTTGAAAAGTCTTTTATCCGAAAATCATTTAGCATAAAAACACAGAAAACCGTTGTGCTTGAGCATTAAATTGGATATAAATCGGCTAAAGCAGAAACAGTGACAAGTAAAAGGCAAAACTTTGACAGGCAAATAAGAAAATTTGGCTTTCCCTACGCAGCAAATCCAGACGAACTTGGCTCCAAGAAATTGCATAATACTGAAAAACTAATTTTTTTCTAAGCATATATTTCCAAAACAGTTGCACTTGAAAAAATTAGGAGGCTGAATGAAAAACATGGGTGATCGGCTGACTATGTCCTAACGTTGCTGGAAAAAAAAGAAATAAGTTTTATGGATATTGGACTGCTCAAAATTTTCAAAATTACCTTTTCGGAGCTCTGTTTAAGGATGAAACACGAGGCCTTGCCAGAATTTTATCAAGTAGGGAAACACAAAAATATCCCTAAATAAGGTTAGCTCGGTAAAACTGAAGATCTGCCGGATCATTTTATGGGATTCGTTAGGTTATCCATTCAGTGGGCGGAACTAAATCCGGGTCTTTTAAAGCTAGTCATCAAAAACTTACCAAAAAAATTCAATACTGCAGGCTTAGCCTGGTGTGGAAACCAACGACCCACGTCAAGGAAGCTGGTGCATAAAGTACTGTTAGCAGTTTTCGGAAAAATATTTCAAAATCTGTGTGCCTATCCGTTTCTGTACTCAAACCTTTGATAATCTCGAACGGATGCATGTAGTTTTTGCTCTAGACGAGTTCGAGACAAACGCGAAATTTGATGAAACGATCTCATCAAATTGGAAAAATGCTTCGACAAGTGATAGAAGTCCATAAAAATGGTAAATAAATTTTTACTAATCTTTGTAGATTGACAAAACGTTTTTTCAAATTTGTTTTTAATTATCGAACAGACAAAATTTACGATGACACCTAAATGGCGAAAAACAATTAGCCAATGAAGCGTAAAAGACAAATATGCTTTGTCGGAATCCAATTAATTTTTGAAAGAATCGACGTTACGATGAACAAAGAGTCCTTAGCTCACAGAAGAGGCTCCCTGGACTTGATACACTTGAACTTTTTTCAAATTCTTACGGAGGTAAAATTATATGATTCCGTCTGTTTTTAACTTGTCTATCTTATACTCCTCAGAAATGTATCCCAGAACTTTCTTACACCAAAGTATTTTGGTAGTTTATAATATTTTTTCACAAGTATGAACTATGAAGTAACTCACTTCTAAGGAGGCGCTATTTTTGATGTCATGGGTACTCTCATGATAAAGGACCGAATAATGGAAAACTTTAAAACAATTAGAATCGTTAAAGATTCCTGTTAGCTTAAGTTTTTTTGCGCAAAACCGATATCATTCTTAACAGAAAACTAGTTATAGCAGCTCTGCAGCCATGTTTTGCTGTACAATTTGTGCAGATATAAAATAATTTTTTTTTTCAGTTTTTTTTTCTAATATGGGTTTTTGTTTTTTCCAAATCGGTTTTTTTTTTTCTTCCAATACCCAACTTTGATTTACAATAGTTGAATAGTTGCTCACTTTTTTATCGGTCAATATAAATTTTCATGGCCTGGATTTTTTCACCTTGTTTGAGATTTTCTCGCTTTGTTTGAGACTTTTGAATATTCCTTTTTAATTGGTTGAAAATTTGTTTTCAATATTCGATCCCTTCATCACGAGCGACGCGACCTTTGATGTCGGCACGAAAAAGACAGACACTTTTTCTTTGGCTTTGTTTTTCAGATAAACCTAATAAAAGCAAGCTAACAAAAATCAGTCTCTAATTTTATCACCAATGAGTTGCCGCTATTTTGCGAATAGAGATCAGACAAGAATTTGAAAACAGTAGTCTGGTTTGTTTATTACTCACCATTACTTTTGTAAGCCGACTTCAAAGATAAAATTTATGAAATCATTAAGCTTGAAAATTTCCATTGACTAAATAGGTTGGTTAAGGTCAACAAATAGATTAGGACTTTGTAAGAAGTGATCAAAGTTTTTTCTTGTTTTTAGATGAGCTGAAATATTAAAGTGCACTTTGCACAAAAACTATTATATGCCTGAAATTTTTCAATGAATTTTGTGATTTAAAAAGGTGTTACACAAACATGGCAATGTGTGTGATAAAAAAACCCTACAACCAGCGTTATGTACACATACGATATACGAAAAATTATACGAGAAAAACCTTATACGATAAAAGATAATACGATTATATCAGAGATCAGATTGATTTATACGATAAATTAGACAATCATACGAAACGACAATTGGCGACTCTTTGTTTTGTGAGACAAATATTTTTTCATTGAGTACTGCAGGATGATCGATATTAGGAACGGCTCAACTCCAACATTTAAAAACATCTGAGAGCAATCAGAGACTTTCGAGCAAAAATTATAATCGAACATCAAAAAAATCTAAAAACTTTTCAGCGATTGCTATAACTGAGCAAAAATTAAACGATTATATGTTTTTTCTACAAAAGCCGAAGTATACGATTATGCGTTATACAATACTCGGATAACACGATTATAAGTTATACAATTTTTTCATTATACGTCAATACACTGCCTACGACACTAATTTATTAGCCATTAAAAAACTAATTATTTGGTTTTTCTGACCGCTTTTCCACCACGGGCCCATTTCTTAAGATTTCGTTAATTTATTCCAAAAGTTTTTTAAAATAGAAAGTGGCAGCATTACGCAATTGCAGACACGTTTTGCCTTGTGTTTGTCACAGCGCAATACTGTCACTTCCGTAATTGCAGAGTTCCGTAATTCAAAAATTACGCTGTAGAATTCTTTTTTAAGGTACAAAAAAACAAGCAGATGTAGAGATGAGGTAGAAAATAAATTTTCACTGTTATCATTTAATAGTTAGTTATGGCGCCCATAAAAGATTACCACTACAGAATACTTTTTGTAATTGACATTTTTCGATCTTACCTCATGGATTGGTCTGAATTAATTTTTAAAAATTTATATTAAACATTCCAAACCTTAACTACCCGTACTAAAGTCTGTGACTCTTGGCACACCTGTTCTTGCTTACTACTTTTCTAAAAAGGAATCAGATGTGACCAAAAAAGTAGCACAAATGGGCAGGGGTGAAATAACTTCAGATCCGGATAGATCAACTAATCAAATGACCAAGTCTGGTTGGAATGTGAGATCTGACTAACCAGTGATGAAATCTGACTAGAACATTGTTCACGTTCACTCTCACATACATTTAAGGAACATGCGTTCCGCATGCAAATACAAAATACAATTGCGCCCTGGAATAAAATAAGCAGACATGAGTAGAAAAGCTCTTTTTTATACACAATTAAATGTTTTCATTAACTCTGACCAAAAGTTAAATTATGTTTTAAAACTTTATTCTGAAACCTACTGTATGTGTAATTTTTTTTTTAATTTCTTGCTTAAATCGCAACTTTTTATTTTGATTTTTTTGGTAGATGCATCAAGAGATTCAGGTATTGATTAAAAGCATCTTTCGATTGTTTACTTATCCTCCAGATACTTGGATGCGGAGCACTACAAAAGGCTTCGTAGTTCGGTCGATATCGCTCGTTGCAATATTTTAATGATTCCCTACCTTTTATAAATTACAATTGAAAAACGAAGTAAATTGTGTTAAGTGAGTGAAATGTTTTAAGGGGCAAAATTATGGCATGGTAAAAAATTTATTGTTTTGATGTTTTTGTTGCTAAAATGAATCAGTTAAAAAGAGTGGAGCCCGCATCAAATTTCAAGCGTTAAGTATCGATTATATTTCAATGTTGGTACCATCTATTTAATTTTGAGTAACAATCGGTTATAATCAATTTATAACCTATTAAATCTCTCTTTGAAATCAAATTTTAACCAATTAAAATACTTTTTAATCGATTATAGTCAATTTTTTATCCGTCTATTTTTCGATACAATTATAATCAAGTATATTCGATTATAAACCATTATTTATTTTCCAATTTCTAATTCATGATTTTTGCACAAAAATCCATTATAATCAATTACGACTGATTATAATCAATTTTGTTTGCCCATTTTGTCTTCGAAGTTACATTTTATTTGCTCCTCATACTTAATGCGTTTTGTAGACGTTGTTTTCTAGGAAAAGAAAAAACTGTTTTTAAAACTTTCAAATCAATTTAAATTTATGAGGTA